TGTTAAGTACAGCGTCTGGCCCTACCTAACCAGGAAGCCTGAACAGTGACCCAGGGCAGCCTCAAAGCTCAGCCTATGGTACCACCCAGCCAAGGAACCTAGCCTATAGCCCCACCCTGTAGTAGAGCCCAGCCTACAGAACTGACTAATTGCTGAACATAGCCTGCAGCCCCACCCAGCCAAGGAGCCCAGCCAGTGATCCCACCCAATCACAAGCATAGCCTGTGGTCCCACCTGATGAGGGTGCCCAGACAGGGACCCTGCCCAACTTTGGGGCACACCTTGTGGCCTCACCTGATCACAGAGCACAGCTGGAGGCCCCATCCAACTGCAACAAACACAGAGTCCAGCCAGTAGCCCCATCTGGTCAGGAAGTACAACCTGAGACCCCATACAACCAGGAGAAATTACAGAACCCAGCTCATAGCCCTGACTACTCATAGAGCCCAGCCAGTGGCAGGTGCCCTGACCTCAGAGCACAGGTCGTGGCCTTGTCTAACCAGAGGCCCTGATAGCAAGCCCCACCTGCCCACAGATGGTGCCAGCTGACCCAGCCAATACCCCAAGCTGACCTGAGCTGTCTTTCCCTGACAAAGCAAACCTGTAAAGTCTGGAAATGGAGACTGCTTACTCAAAAGTGCAGCTACCAACTCAAAGATCATAAAGAATCAGATAAAACGACACTACCAAAGGAAACTAATAAAGCTCCAATAACCGACTCTAAAGAAATGGAGTTCTGTGAACTGCCTGACAAAGAATTCAAAATAATCCTCTTAAAGAAGTTTAGTGAACTACAAAACACACAGACAACTAAATGAAATTAGGCAAACAATGTATGAACAAAATCAGAAGTTCAACAAAGAAAAAGAAATCCTCAAAACAAACTGAAATCTTGCAGCTGAAGAATACAAAGACTGAACTGAAGAATTCAATAGAGAGCATCAACAACAGATTCAATCAAACAGAAGAAAGAATCAGTAAACTAGAACATAGGTCAATTGAAATTATCCAGTCAAATTCATAGAAACAGAAAGTAGAATGGTGGTTTCCAATGGCTAGCGGGAGGGTGAATTGGAGAATTGTTTTTCAATAGGTATAAAGTTTTGGTTTTACAAGAAGAAAAAGTTCTAGAGATTTGTTGCACAACAATGTGAATGTACTTAACATTAGTGAATTGTAACTTAAAAATGCTTAAGACAGGGGCCGGCCCGGTGGCGCATCGGTTAAGTGCACACGTTCCGCTTCAGCAGCCCGGGGTTCCCCAGTTCAGATCCCAGGTGTGGACATGGTACCACTTGGCATGCCATGATGTGGTAGGCGTCCCACACATAAAGTAGAGGAAGATGGGCACGGATGTTAGCCCAGGGCCAGTCTTCCTCAGCAAAAAGAGGAGGATTGGCTAATCTTCCTTGAAAAAAAAAGTGGTTAAGACAGTAAATTTTATGTTATGTACTTTTTTTTTTTAAAGATTTTATTTTTTCCTTTTTCTCCCCAAAGCCCCCCAGTACATAGTTGTATATTCTTTGTTGTGTGTCCTTCTAGTTGTGGCATGTGGGACGCTGCCTCAGCGTAGTTTAATGAGCAGTGCCATGTCCGCACCCAGGATTCGAACCAACGAAACACTGGGCCGCCTACAGTGGAGCGCGCGAACTTAACCACTCGGCCACGGGGCCAGCCCCTATGTTATGTACTTTTTACCACAATTTAAAAATTTTTTAAAAGCTGATACAGACCGTGATTATAAAACCTATTTCATATGGTTATTGTAAGTATTGAGCTAATACAGGCAAAATATTTAGACAATATCTGGAAGAAAGTCAGTGCTATTTAAGTGTTAGCTATAATTGCAATTTGTTTTTCCCTTTACTTGTTGGTGTGAACAGCATCATGATTCCACCTAGATGATGACACCACAGCACTGATGCCATTACACGGGTACTGTAATTGACCCGTTGCCTCTTCCTCCCCAAAAAACGATAACAAATTACTGCTTGCCACTCCCCTGATAAGACTGTCTACTTCTCTGACAAGCCTAGAAACAGAACCTTAAATTCTCCATAATGTGCTTAGCTATTAAAATATGTGTGAGATCAGACTTTGCCATGTCCACCAAGAATGCACCTCTTAGACATCCCTTCCCATAGCTGGGATATAATCTCCAGCAGGCACCACAGTCTGACATATACCAGGGGCTTAGTAAGTATTCACTGAATGAAGGAAAGCCTTAAATAGTGAGACCAAGGGATCCTGTCCAATAGGTATATCCCAAGTCCAAATTTAATCAAATCATTGTAAAAATTAGGAAGAAATAGATAGCAGTCTGGGACTTCTACTCAGTAGCCCAAGGTGGTTCTCCTGCCTAAAAAAGATGTGTTCTGCCCTATTTAAATCAGCCAAGACACAGGAAAAGCAAAATAAACCTGGGAAATCCTCTCTATGTCTTTCCTAGAATGAAGTAATATAGAAATAATTAAGAAATATATTACGTGTGGCCCAATTAACTATCATATCATATTAATATTAACACAACTGAAAAAAATATCATTCTACATTCTGGAATCAATGCCATAATCAGACTGAGATCTTAAGACACTGAGCCCCTTTCACACAGTGCTAGTCAGGCTGCACACATTTACACAGACCAGATGTGGAATCTGCAGAGATGGCCCTCAGTGCAGGTAGAGTAAGAGGCATCCTGCAGAAGTGACAGGAAGCATGTTGGAATGACTGTCCTTGCTGCATCTGCTCAAGCACAAGAAAGGGCTCTAGAAACACCCAACAACATGAAATGACTAGATGCCTTCTATATGGCAGGCATGATTCAAGATCGCAGGCTGTGTAGATGATTCAGATGTGCTTTCTCTCCTCAAGGAGCTCATGGTTAAGCTAGATAAAAATCATAATGGACTGGATAAATTGGGAAGAGCAATCCTCTGCCCTGAGACAGACACCCCTTCTTCTCCTGACCTTGTCTTAGTGCATGTATAAGCCTCAGGGGCAATGGCTTTGGCAAGACTGGTAAAGAGATTCTAAGCCATCTAGAAAAATTCGATCTGGGGGATAAGCTGTTTACTTAATTGACCCCTCTGCCTCGGAGAAGATGAATAGAGTCCAGCATGGACAAAAGAAAAAGCAGATTGGATTTCACTCTGGGCTCTGGGTTCAAGAAAGCATACCTGTGGCCCAGTGGCAGCATCAGCATTTCCAGGGAACTTTTAGAAATGCAAATTGTTGGGCTCTAACTCAGACCTACTGAATCAGAAACTCAGGTGGGGCCCAGGGAGCTGTGCTTTAAAAGCCTTCCAGGTGATTCCCACGTCTGTTAAAGCTTGAGAACCACTGATCCAGCCCAACTCACCAGCATAGGAAAGAACACAGGGGGTCCACAAGAACTGATCACAGAGTCCAATGAAGATTGTACAATTAACCAGAGTTTTCAGCGTAAAAAGTAAGAAAAAAAAATGAAGAAAGGAACACAGAAAAGAAACATGCTCAATTAAATCAAATATTTAAGAAATCTAATCATAGACAGGTGATGTGTCTTACAGTTGGGTTTAACCATCAGCTACTCTTGTTGTTGGAGGAATCATTATTCTCCCTTGCTTTTTCTCTTTTAAAATGTAATTACTGGTGAGAGGATTAAAAATCTAGTTGCTTAGCATCTGACTCTGACAAATTTTATCAGATCCCGAAAGCAGAGCGGAAAATCACCTAAATGTTGAGGTTAGAAGTCATTGAACATTAGTTTCAACTTAACAGTTTTTACGTGGAGGGAAAGTCACCAGCCTAGGAAGGCACAGGCCACTCTGCCACACTTGTCTTTGTTGGACAAAGGCAGAATTGTGAGCAGGTAAATATCCCCACCCAATGCCTTCTCTGGAGTAGCACTAAGAAAACTTTTATTTCTGTGAAGCTAAAGTCAAGACTCTACTTTACTTCAACTCTCTAGAGGTTACCAAAAATGTCAACAAAAATATCAACAGTCTACTTTGCGTTCTAGGAATGTTACCCTTAAAAGAGAAAATTAGGAATGGGTACAGGTGTGCCTCACTTTAAGTAATCTCAACTTCTCAGAAAAAGGGGAAAATGTACAAAACCTATTTTGATTACAAAAAAGATTTACTAATCTCCCTTGGACCATTAAAAAAACATAAAAGGCCAAGATTTAATTCATACTCACTTTTCCTAGAATGAAATGATTAAAAAAATTAGCTTCATGCCTATCGTGGATATCAGTGATTAAACCCAAGAGGAAGGAAGAGCAATTAAAGACATCTCTGAGAGTTATGGTTACCATTTCATTTTCAAGGACAATCCTTTTCTTTTGTTGTTTAAAATATTAATGCCATTTTTTTATTCATGAATATATTGAAATGCTGCAGGTCTTACATTTCACAATTGCTATCCAAGGTCAAAACTTTCCTGACATCCAAGATACAGGGTTAAGTAATTATCCTTTAAAATGGATATGAGTAGATATAAAAATAGAATCCTAATTTATGAATTTCCTAATTTTTCTTCTTTGCTACCGACATAATCTATAGATCAATTTTTAGCTGAATTACTGTCAAAACAGCCTTGCTGTCAGAGTATCAATTACTTCCCCCTGATTTGAAATATTTACAGTCAGGGTACCGGGTGAGCGATAATCTTCGCAATAGAGATACCTCAACACTTCTTGTTATTGTTTCTCAGACTTCTGAGTTAAAACCAAGCTTACCTGTTATCATACCAAAGCATTTCAATAAAAATTTTAAAATGCACAGGAGGGAGTACTCATTGGTTACTACATAAGTAAGAAAAAAATAAATAAAATTCCTGCTAAATATATATTCTTCTTGGATTCAAAGCTCAAGTCAACTATCGATTACACAATTGTTATAATTTCACTTGTATTAGGCATACAAAACGCTCTCTATTAGTAAAGAGCCATGAAAAACAGTCATTTACAATCCAGGGAATCTTATAAAAGAAATAACAGTGCTTTTTTTTTTACCAACCTGGGCTGAGAAACCACAGAAGAAGCCAAACCAGAAATGCACAAGTGTGAATGCAAAATTCTTATAGAAGAAATAGCATAAGAATTTGCACATTCGGAAATAGGACCACCTTCCATGGACAAGGAGAAGCCTTTGGAGGTATCTAAACTGTGCAAATGAATAGTCGCTGGCTAAGACTGCCTGCAGTCCTTCCTGGCCGCTGATGCCAACGCCAATGTGAGCACCTACAAAGGACAAGAGAAACACTTTCATTTCCCAAACAAAGACACCATCTCACTTGCGATTTCTCTTTTATGATGTTCTTTACGGAAACCTTGCAACTATAGCATTTATAATTTTTCCCATATGTTATCTCATGAAACACTCATGACAGGTATTTATCCTAGTTTTACAAAAGAGGAAATTAGCTCAGAAAAGTTCAGCAACTTGCACAAGGTGTTACAATTTGTTAGTGGCAGAGCTGGAACTAAACCCAAGCGTTGGGACTGTGGGTCCCGTGTTCATTTCTCTATACCATAGCTACTTCTCCAAACAGTACAAGGTGACCAATATTCTTTTTTAGCCTAAAAGTACATAAATGATTTAATTAAAGACAAATCATTTTTTTATGAATGCTAATAATGGTGGGCGCTTTGGACCCAGAAAGTATTCATTTTAGAACCACTGGGAAAATTAAGTTGTAATGCATTCTCCATTACGTATTGCCAAATGCTGACCCCGAGGACTCCAGGTGTGCAGCATGCCCCACTGAGTGAGTGTCCTCTTACTTTTGATCATGCTGACATCATTGGCTCCATCGCCTATGGCCAAAGTGACAGCATTTCTGTACTTCTTCACCAGCTCTACTACTTGGGCTTTCTGGAGCGGGGTGACACGGCAGCAAACCACAGTCTTACACATGCAGGCTAGTTCCAGGAGATCATTCTTAACGTCACTTTCTAGGGCATGGGCCTACGTTATTAAAAAAGAAAAAAAAATCCAGAAGAGAACAGGAAACAATAAATAAGAGATGTCATTTGCAAAACAGATTTCTTGTTTCTCAACTGATTTCTTTTCCAAACAGTTTAATTCACTTCAACAAGTCATTGCTGATTCAGGGTCATACAACCAACAACAACTAACTGAAGAAGTGAGTATTGAACTCCTACAAAGTGCCAAGGAATTTTACCATAAAAATAAAAAACACAGTGCCTTTTGTGTGTCCTCCTTGACATGTTATCATGCTGCACAACGCCAGAGAAGTTCCAGAGTCCACTAAAATAAGCAAAAGAAAAGATGAAACCTATCCACCACCTCACCCCATTTAGAATGAACCACAAATGATGGTGATTTGTTTGTCTGATGTGATAGAATTTTCGTGTCCTTTGCATTGTTGTTTTGTGTATTTAGTGTTTGTTGTTGTGTTGTTAACTCGCAGGCAAATGAAAAGCAGATGATCTGGAGATTAGCCTTTGCAGAACATAGTGATTGAAATCCAGAGAGGCCCGTGCAAAAGAGGGGCGTGTAACTGGTGTCTCGGGCAGGGGTCCCCAACCATTTCCACCCTCGCTCCTCTCCAAATACACAAGATGCCAAGAAATGACTGAAAAAGACAGCATAATCGTTTGCAATTAACTGTCCTTTTTTTTTTTTCTGGAAAACATCTCACTGTACATGATTTAATAAATACATTAAGAGGAAACAGGAATCCACCTAAACTTTGAGTCATCAGTATCTCTGAATGAATCTTTAGCAAGACGATCACAGCCCATCACAATCTGGCCCCTGTATTTCTTCTGGGTTCTGTCTTCTACCACCAACTTTCAGTTTACTCTTTACTCCTGTCGTGCCAAATCGCCTGTTTCCATAATTTGAAAGTTTCTGTCTTGCCTCTGTGCCTTTGTACTTGCTGTCTCCTCTACCAGAAAACATCACTTCCTCCAGGAAGTCTTCTCTGACTCTCCCATGAGGAACTAACTGTGCGCTTTGCCTCTATGCTCTCAAAGCACTGTCTTTGTTCCTCTTTATAGTATTTGTCATACCACTGTGAGATTAGCCCTCCCACCAGATGGCAATCCTTAAAACAAGGACGGCGTTCTGTTCACATCCTTATCCTCAGGCTCTAGCACCATGACTGGGTTGCTTAATAAACGATAACGTTATAAATGGAAGGATGGGTGAATGGGTATAAAAACATGACTCTGCTGTAGGAAATTCTCATATCAAGGCCAGTAATTCCTAGGGGAAGATGTGAGCTAGCATTCTCAAATATAATTGCCCTTTCTGAAAGAGAAAGCATATAACTGGCTGTCTTGCCCAGAATGGTCCCCTTTTCTCTCTTTTCTTTTTTCTTTATTATCAACAAGTGAAAACCTAGACTCAGACTCTGAGAAAGAAGAACCCAATTGCATGCTGCAAAGCATCAAAATTTGAGCAAATCGGAATCATGATTTGTTTTTTTTTTAAAAAAGAAAGCTTCTGACCATACTAGGAGAAACATGGTCAATTCTTCTTAAATGACAAATAACATTTCACAATTTCATAAACCTCAGACTTTGAAGCTGAAGGTGTTCTTAACAGCATCTATCTTAGCTCTTTCTTTCAACAGATTTACAGAGAGGGAACAATGTGTGCTATCACCTGAGTGTGCTAACCCACCACGCATTGGCTTCTTTGAGCCTGAAGGAAAGTCAAAGCACAGCTCATTAGGGACCCTTTCCATATTGCGGTCTCTGGGCAATTCGGCTTGGAGGCCACCAGCTCCACGTCCTAACTGACAGGCTTATAACTTTCAGTTGCTGCTCATTTGTGCAAGGGAGAAGTTCGTGTCATCTGGACAAACTTTCAACTAAGCTTGGCCTGCAACTGAGCTCTGTAACTTTCCATGGTGTAGAAGGCAACACATCATTACGTCTGGAATCCAGCTGGAGAATGCTCTAAGCACCAAGAGCTAACAGACAGCTGATCACGGGGGGAAACATATACTCACATCCAACTTCATCTGTCCTCTAAGAAACTCTCTACAAGAAGATACATTTATTTTCCAAACTCCGAAAGAAAAAATGATCATCAAAGCTGGAGAAAAATGTGAGATTAGCTCTTTCTGCATATAAATGATGATTTCACTGGAGTGCAATCAGAGCTTTTGTTTTCTAAATTAGAAACTCAGAAGAGTGTTTTGATATTTGTTCAAGATTTGGAACCTGAACTACATTAAAAGTACAATGCAAGTTTATTCTATTACGACAAGAACCAGATTTCCTAATCAAAGCAAATTGTTTGGCATTGCTGTAAAATGCTGCTATTTAGAAAAACCACCAGGGGTATCTTAATGGCACTAATTTAGTGTGGTAATTATATGAAGGTCAGATTGCACTCTGCAAATCACAAACATTAGCAAGAGCAATAATTACAATACATCCATCCAGTTGCATTATTTTAATTAAGTAACAGTGACCTGTGACACTCTCCCCTAGAAAAGCACTTAAACAATACAGCTCAACGGTCTACAGTCATTTAGACAAGATTGATATTCTGTGAATTCAGTATCTTCAGATCCTCCCCTTCACTGTGTTGGTTCAAGCAATAATGTATGAAATTTATTAGAAGTTTCCTTCTTGCAGACAGGAAATCATTGTGCAGGCTCTGTCTCTAGCAGTGTCATTTGTTTGGAAAACACAAAAGCAGATCTCATTATGACAGCACAAAAGAGAAAATTATTGAGGTGAAGAAAAAGAAAGAACAAAGCCTTCAGCGAACTCACCAAACTGTGGCCATTTATGACTAAGGCATAATCTCCTGTTATGGTTTCCTCTACCACTGAGGCCAGCTCCAGCTGCTGCTTTTTTTCAAAAACTACATGGCCGTTGGAAAAACTTCTGTTTTGTCCAAACAAATTTTCTTTTGCTTTCCTTAAAACAGAGGGGGGGAAGCAAATCATAACAAAGTATACAGAGTACACTTATTAACTCTAACAAGAGACTGGCCTAGAGGTAAATTCATTTTGTCACTATTCAGACGGACTATGGCATAAGATTCAATTTCAGTAAGCAAGCTGGATAACTCTTTGTGATGGATACCACAGCAAATTTGCAAATTCCAGGAAGTAGGAGGGTAAACACAATGAAAACAGAATCATCTTGAATGTTTTAAATTACCTAAAAGCGAAATCATCATCTTGAGCTGGGCTTGAGCTAGGCGCTCTTGATAAATTTGATATATAAGGTTGTCTGAGCTTGAAGTACCTAAGAACCACTGATCTGGCCTGAGATATTGTTAAATAACGGAAGGGGCAAGACTAAAGACAATCGATGAAATCTTCTAGGAATTCCAGGGTATCTATATATAAAATAATTTCATCAATTTGCAAAACCATGTAATATGATCTGGTTTAAAACAGCAGTCTTCTAAGAAGCAAATTTTTTAAAAATTAGACAATAAAAACAAACGATGGCATTTATTGAATTGGCATAGTCATTACATTATAGTGGAATATTTTAAGTGAAAATTGTACTCAATAGCTCAAACAACAGAATCAACTTTCTGGGAAAGAAACTACAGACACAAAAGTGTAGACATGGTTGTTCCAAATGGAAACTCCCTGATCTAATAGCAGATTTGAATTAGCAGATGCCCACATCTCATCCATCTCTTTAACAGGAAGATTGGTGACTTAACACCCTGTGAAGTGGCATTTTATTCTTCTCTTCTAAATGGAAAGATGATGCCTTTAAAGGAAAGGAAATTTCTTCTCCAAGGATCCTTAGATGACAAGCTTTGAAGTGACAGAGGGCAAGCTGACATGATTCAGATTTCAACCACACAGCAGGCACTCCCTGAAGATAAGTGTCACAGCAGCCACCAACACTTGAGACTACAACTTGCATATACAAAATTAATGCTCAGGAGAAAATGGGGAGTGAGAGACAGGCCAGAAAATGGATCTTTGGCTCACAGCAAAATTAAATGATTCCCCAAAGGCTCATCCAACATAGAAAACATTTATTAAAATAATTTTATGCTGTGGTTCTCTGAAAGAAGAAAATGCTCACGTACAAAAACAGCCATTTTAGCCCTCAGCTTTCTAATTATTTGAAAATGTAACACTAATTGTTTACATGCTAAGTTTCAAAAAAAAAGAACCACCACCACCACCTTATCTTCTGGCTCAACATCTCCTTCTGCTGTCCAGGACCAAAATCACAGCCTGCGTTTAGGAACCCAAGGGACTGGAGGTTATGTGCCCCTGGCTCCAAGGATGATATCATGCGTTTGGCAATCAGTTTGCAGAATCAAAGAAAAAGATTTATAAAGTCAGAAGGCTACGTGTGAAATTTAGGGAGTCAGGCTTGGGAGGAGGGGGAGGACAGACATGAAAAATCATTGTTTTAAGTGGGAGGACCGGACTTTCACATCAGATAACCATGTCAGGGAATCCTCCTCACAGGCATGAAAATTTACAGTCCCATATAATGAGGAAAGCAAGAGAGACGAGTTCCTCAGAAATGAACATTTCTCTGACAACATTACAGAGCTCATAAATCAGGTCCTAAGAAAGCACCAAAGGGCAAACATCTCGTGAGGTTTCCTTTTTAGTAAAGTTCTCACTCGCTGTAGAAATGACTCAATCTCTGTTTTCCCCCCAGAGAATGAAAACATTCCAAAGAAGGGTGAAGTTCATGAAAGTATTGGCTGAAATTCTATTTACTTAGGATATTTATTCCCCCTAAACTGTCTTCCTAACATCTCACATGAACGCTTTTCCAGGCAGAGAAGGGACAGTTTTTCCAGCTCTGCGGAAATTCCCATTGCCCTCCCTCCACACAGGCCAACCCTCCTCACCGAGTTGCACTTGGCCATTCTCAGACTCTGCCCATGCTCTGGAGCTGTCGTTTCTTTTTCTTGGTGGAACTTAGCTCTTCAAACACCAGTTGCTTCTCACCAAAACAATTTATTAGGAGGGGAAGAGCTATACATAACTCCCTTCAGTGAAGATGAACTAGATATTTTTGCAGGCGTAACACAAAATGCTTAACCACAGAATGCAACTAACAAATGCTGAAACAAAAGAATGCCTGTTTTTTCCAAGCTTTGTAATGAAGGGGAGTCTCTTACAACGTCAGCATGCAGAAATGCATTAATGGCTGAGGCGACTGTGGCATTCACAGCCCCGAGCCACTACAAACACAGCAAGGCACAGTTAGGCCCATGTTGGCTTGAAAGCAACCCATAAAGAAAAGAGATGGTAGGAAAAAAAGTCATTGTATCAGTCCTCTTAAGGCACTCTACACTCAAACATTAAAAGGACCAGTTAGGAAATGGATTGAAACCATGAGGTCACGTTTAAAAGAAGACTATCTTGACTTTGATATAGGAGCATTGGGCTCGGAACCTGGAGACCTGGGTTCCGGCTTGAGGTCTGCCTCTGACACCTCCTGTGCCCACAGATCAACTGGATCTCAAGCCACTTGATTAGTCAGTTACAGTTAGGCTAGAACCCAGGTCTTCCAATTCCTAGTCCTCAGTCTACCACATCAAACTGGTTTACACACAGAATCAGCCTCAGGCTGCCTCTAGGTTGGGACAAAGACACAGTCCCAGAGGAGCGGTTAGGGGATAGCACCACCCTGCCGACAGTAGAGAAAGGGAGAAGGTACATGAAATTTTGACTTCAAGTCCCAGTTCCACCTCTTACTACCTGTGTGACCTGTAAGACATTCAAAACCTGAACCAGTTTCTTTATTAGAAATTAGAGGGGCCAGCCTGGTGGTACAACAGTTAAGTTCACAAGTTCTCCTCCAGCCGCCTGGGGTTCACCAGTTTGGATCCCAGGTGGGGACCTATGCACTGCTTGGCGAGCCATGCTGTGGTAGGCGTCCCACATATAAAGTAGAGGAAGATGGGCATGAATGTTAGCTCAGGGCTGGTCTTCCTCAGCGAAAAGAGGAGGATTGGCAGCAGATGTTAGCTCAGGTGACAATCTTAGGGGAAAAAAAAAGAAATTAGAGGAATGCGACCAGCGAAACAGACTGGTTGATACCAGCTTTGAAAATTTGGGCAGCTGTACCATGGTGACTAGAAGATCTCCAAGATTACTTAGTGTTCTAAAATCTGACAATTTATGACAAAAACTTAAGCTAATAAAACATTTTGCCTGGGTGACTACAAGTTGGGAATTCAGAACAAGATGCAATTTTTTTGGCCTGCATTGTGTTTAAAAAATCTATATGACTTTATGAACAATATGAAAGGCCCCACCACTCCCTAATGTCCCACATCACACAACTAATGTTACCTGCCTGGCCCTTGAGCCATTTTCATTTGAAAACTCTGTTCATTCAAACAAATAACTTTACACCAAGTAGGTGTAAAAAAAAAAATACAATGTGTATTTTGTTGATTAAAGAGGAAATATCAATTTCTAGGTCTATTGCTGGGATACTTCTAAGAAGCAGCGGTGTCAGTTCACAGTTTAATTAGCTATAGAACATGAATTTTTCTAACAATAAAATGTGATCAGTGCAACAAAAATGAAACATGGAATGAGTTGGCCTGCCAGCCCCAGCAAAATTACATTCTCTGTCTGTTTTCCTTTGGGTAGAAGACATATGTATTAGTGAAATGTAATCAGTGCGGTAATCTTCTGAGAAACCATAGCAGGGTTTAATTATAGATTTCTGGGCATGCCCTTAATACTAAAGCAACTATGGCAGCAAAATTAACTCAGGACTCAAAGTGTCTAAAACAGTTTCACGACGCTAAATTGGAAACAAGCCGTATGCATGATACGTATGCATGTATGCATGAAAATTACATATCCATGTTTATGAAATAATCTAAACACATTTGACAAGTTTAAATATAAGCATTTAGGTCATTTCCTTCCAATAGCTACTATCACTAGATGCTGTCCTTTTGGTACACTTTCTTTTGTTTGTTTTTGCATGAACTCCCACTGAACTCAAAAGCATAACACAAGAAAATTGAATGGTGTAAATTTATGATTTCAATATTTCATCCCAAAAGCTATTAGCTTGGATATAAGTAGCCAAGTTTAGGAGTAAAGAGAGCACCTTTGGCAATAACTTTTCTTGGATGCCATTTTTCCCCAACCCTAATATTAGCCAAATGCCTACTATAAATGTATTAATTCCTCTTATACAGAATTTTCTACCATATATCGCCTCTCTGTCTTAGACTCTAAGAATGGGGTTACCTCCAAGTCTGCGTTGACATAAACATTATTTGCCAGTTAGTTAAGCAAAGTAACCTCAAGAGTTCTGAAATAATTAGTCTGGATGGAAATTCTTCATTTTTCCCTCTGAATATTTTTTCTTCTTGTTAAAAAAAAAATGAAGATAATTTTTTGGCTTTTTTCCTAATTGTAAAAGCATTGCATGAACACTTTCACAACTTCAGATAATATGAAGAGCCATAAAGAAGAAAGTAAATATGATCCATAATTCTATCACCCAGAGAGAACCCCTGTATACGTCCTGCAGAGTTTGATGGGCAGGTAGGTGGATAGATATGGATATAGGTGTATGGTGTTTTATACAAATGAATACATAAATACACATGCAGAATTTTTTTGAAAAAAAGGATCATACCATGCATGATGTTTTGTAATCTCATTTTTCACTTAAATATATCATGGACACCTTCCAATGTTAATAAGCACATAATCACTTTTAATGACTGCATAGTATTCCATTGTATGTCTGTATCATAGTAATTAACAAAATCCCTTGTGGCTGGGTATTTGAGAAATTTGTAATTTATTATCATAGTTGATGCAGTAATGAATATTTCTGTATATACATAGTCCTACATTTGTCCACTCTTTTTTTTAAGGGCAATTCCTAGAAATCAGAATCATTGGGTCAAAAGTGTGCATACACATAATTTTGAAATATCTTGCTAGTTTGCCCTCTAGAAAGTTTCTACCAACTCCAACTCCCAACAACAGTATATAAGAATTATATTTCTCCACATTCCTTCTACATAATGACAGTTATGTCACCCATTTAGTAGCCAAATATAACTGGATAAAATCTCGAGATATTAACTTTGGTTCCCCTCCGCTCTGCAATCACTGCTGCTACCACAGGGAACCCTCTCTGTTTACTCAGAAACATATCTTGCCTTAGGGGGATTTGACAGAGCCAAGTATAGAGGGAACAAGAAAGAGTCAAGATCTCACTTTTTGATCTTGATAGACCATTGAAAGTCAAAGCAGCATCATGATTCTGAATTCTAGTGATCTGAAATTTCACTAATTGGATTTTTTGAGAGGGAAGAAAAAAGTTTCTTAAAGTCTCAAAAGACTCATCCTTAAAGGAATTGGGGCACAACATGTTACCATAAGCCACAGATTGGAAAGAAATGACCTCTTTTCTTGACCAGCCGTTCAGCCTAGAGGAGAGGAATTTTGAAGAGGAGCTGAGATACTGGTGAGTCACTAAAGAAGCCTGGGTGCTGACCCACCCCCTGGACTGGTAGTAGTTGGGGGAATCATGTGGGTAATGGAATCCTCGGATACGTTTTTGGGAATCTGAGTATGGAATAGTCACTACTGAAGTATGGTGACCTGGAGGGTAGTAGATGAAGGAACAGAGGTAGCCATGTGAGAGCACAAGTCTTCTCAGACACAGAGAAGTGAGAAAGAGCAGCCAAACTTCCATATTTCCTCAGGAGGAGGTGGAAGTCAGCTGAGAGGGACAGCAGCAACCTAAAGAGATCAGAGACCAGAGAGGGACACAGAAGAGGGAAGTGCCGGATGCCAGCAGGGTAGATGCTGAGGACCAGGGACAGGTAAGGCATTTGTGCAAACTTGACTTGAACTAAATTTACCCAAAAGTGCCTAGTTTAATTGTTCTGTCATCCAGCAGAGAAGGAGTCAAGTTCAGTTTTTGAAAATTTGATGAGTTTCTGTTCTTGCACACCTGAGTGTATTCTGGGCTGTGAAGTCAGTCAAACTAGAAATGACAGAGCCTCCTTCCATTTCCCTTCACATCAAATCAAATTCCAAGTCCTATCCATTCTACCTCCAAAAGAGCTGTCAAGTTCACCCCACTCTTTCCTTCCCCATTGTTACAACCCCGCTGTCTTAGTTCAACCCTCATCATCTCTAAACCTGAGTATTCTGACAGCCTCCTGATGCATCTCTCCATACTCATTTTCCCATCAAACATACCCCATCTATCCTGTCACTAGAGTGTTATTTCTCAAATGCTAAATTGGGTTTGTCACTCTTCTGCTTAGAAGCCATCTATATCCACCCAATACCTTCAGGATAAACTATGATCACTTTTGCTTGTTAATCAATCTATCGCCAATCCATCTATGAAAAACTCCTCCCCCCCCCCGCCCTTAGCTCTATGATACACTCTAGCTACAACCTGGAATATTGCTCCTGGAATATAACACGGTTTCTTTCATGTATCTATACTTTGGTGTGTGCTGTTCCATCAATCTGCAATATCGTTATCCAATGCAACCAATAGAGGAAGAGGATCCATACAAGTTGTAACGGGTCAGTACATTGTTTTCAATATCTTAAGGCTAATGAAAAATGTCTATTTCTTTTTAATAAGAATGCATAGACTCTCTGATTTTTTTTTAAGTTTTGTATTATTTTTGGCTACCATTACTTCAGCCTAGTGTAGACAACTGCTATATCAGGCTGGTTAGAAGCTATGACTAAAGATTGCATATGCCTTTGCCAAATAAAAATTGGGAAATCTAATTAATTGTTGCTAGTATAATTTTGTTATTATTATTTATATAATTTTAATGATAGACTCCATAGAGTCTATTGGGAAAATATTAATAAAAGTAGTCCTTGTTGATGGAAAGATTGAGGATAATGGCAGAGGGAAGGAGGAAGGGAAGAAATGGAGAGAGAGGAGGAAGGCAAGAAGGATGCTCATTGAACGGCCATAAAGCTTTAATCCCACAAATACAATAATCTGTAGGGTAGATATTTATATATTTTCCAATTTTATAAATGAGGAAACCAAGCAAAGAGAAGTTGCATAGCATATCAAAAGTCTCTCAAGCCAGCAAGTAAGCACAAAGCTGAGGTTCCAACTTGGCTCCAGTTAACCCAAAGTCCATACTCCTCCTCTTACATGTGCTGTCTCTCCCTGAAATTTGTTCTGCTCTAGTTCTTAATCTGGTGTCTGACTTCAAGTGAAGCAGTAAGATGTCTCAACTACATTTTTTATATTAATTATTTAAAGAGAGTAAGAATACATCCAAAGTGTGTTTAGGAAGACACATGACAAGTGATTTGGTGTACAGGCTGTGGGGCCATGCTGTCTAGACTCAAGTCCCAGTTGAACCACTGACTAGTTGTGAAACTTCGGCCATGTTATTTACCCTATCTGTGCCTCAACTTCCTAATCTGTAAAACAAGGCTAATGGTAATGGTAATGCCGACCACTGGGTTGCTTTGAGAATGAAATAAGATAATACATGTAAATGGTTTACAATTATGCCTGAGGCACTGTCTCGAAGCGGATCAGCAGTAGACTAATTAGAATCTAGATCTGCTCACATTGATCTTCCTTCAGCAAGAATTAAATTCCCCAAAAACAAAAGGTCATTTAAAGAAAAAGATTTCCTTAAAATAAAAAGTATTAACTATTGCTAATTATTAAACAAATTATTAATAGTTCCCCAATAGACTCTATGGAATTGATCACTAAAGTTATATAAAAATAGTAATAAAATGATATCAGTAATAATTAGACTTCTCGATTTTTAGTTGGCAAAGACACATGCAGGCTCCACTCATAGCTTCTAACCAGCATGATATAGCAGTTTTCTACCGTGGGTAAGACAGTGTAGAAGTTAGGAGAATTAATCAACAAGTTTCAATTGGTGGTGCTGACAGTTAAGACTTTCCTTCTTTTCAAGGTTCAAGAACAAAAGTTTAATGATGGAGACACATTAAGGAAACCCATCTTGCTCCATTGTTGCGTTGAGGGGAGGTTAGCCCGCCTCTAGAAGGTAGCAAGCAAGCTGTTTGCCTCTAAGTCAACAATCTGCTTGGCCAGACGCAAAATGGGTTGAGCTTAGAGAAGATACTACAAGCATCAGCAAGCCAAAATTATTATAAGACAGTACTTTTTAAAGTTCTGGGAAAATAAGTATGCAGACTTTTAAAATAGTCTTCAAATGAAGTAACAAAAAAAGAGATAAAATAAATTGGTAGATATTAAAAAATATTATTTCTCAAAATTTTATGTTGGTCCACTCTTAACTCCAATTTCAGTCCTTACATATTTTCCAGGACTATGTAGCAGTTACCCAAATTTTGCAGTATTCTTTTTCTCGTAAGTATTGTATATCTGGGTTCAATAGCAACTGTCAAAATATCTACTTTCTTTAATGCTGAAAGACTCTGTTCCAACTTTACATACCACCTCCTACAGCTGTGTTTTCCAAATTTATCTATCATAAGCTTCATCCAGGTGCGTATTGAAATACAAATTCCCATGCCCCATATTAATTCTGAAGATTCTTAATTTTTAGGTCAGAATGAAGCTGGGGGATTGGTATTTTTAACAAGTACCCCCAGTAATACTGATCACTCATCACCATGTAGGAATTAAGGTACTCACCAGTGCATAATGTTAAAGGATAACTCAACACTTGTTGTTAATGCTGTCGAGTCAATTCTGACTCCTAGTGACCCTGTGTACCCTGCCCGGTCTTCTGCACCATCCTCTCACGTTCCAGCCCTATATTAGACAACGATGCTCTGGTGCTATTCATAGGATTTTCATGGCCAAATTTTTTGAAAGTGGGTGGCCAGGTCCTTCTTCCTAGTCTGTCTTAGTCTGGAAGTTCCGCTGAAACCTGTCCACCATGGGTGATCCTGCCGGTATTTGAAATACTGGTGGCAGAGCTCTCAGCATCACAGCAACACACAGCCACCAGAGGATGACAACCGACAGACAGGTGGTATGGTTCCCTGACCAGATACAAACCCAGGGTGGGGATGGTGAGAGCGCCAAATCTTAACCACTAGATGACCAGGGCTGGTTATAACTCAGTATAAATGATTTGAAATCCTTTTCTAAAAATACTTGGGAAATGTTGAAGACCTGAAGACAATGATTCACCACTGATGTGCAACTTATCTTAGTTTTTAACCAAAACGAATAGGAGTTTAGGAAACAGGCCAAAAGAGCTCTATTCTAAATTAAGACCACAGGAAACTACAGAGTGCCTGTCTGCACTTTCTTAACTATCTGATCTCCCTTTTCCCCTCTCTCCCTTCTTCCCTGTGATCCTTTCCTCCTTCTATTAAGACTTACCTGAGCTCTTCTCTGACTTCTGCTGCTGTGTTCCCTGCTATGATGAATACATCATTCATGTCATCAGTCAGCATGTTGCAGGCATAGCCAATGTTGATGGCAGTTTCTGATAGAAAATAAAGCCCATCTCAGTTAGAACATTACTTAATAACATAAGTACCTTTACCATAAAAGTTTTGAGGCCATTGCTGTATTTCCTTATATCCTACAGCCCACCTTCATCTCAGAGAGAGCATGAGAGGTGATAAAATATAAGAGACCCAGGGGGAAATTCAAAGACCTAGGTTCCATGACCACATTCACCAATTGCTAAATCCATGGAGAAGTAGAAACATCTATGAATCCTCAGCCTTCTCATCTAGTTTTTGAAAAAAACTTTTTGATTCCCAAAATTAGTACTCATGATATAGTACTTGTGATATAGTGAAATATGTAAACAAAAAACTTTTTACTAGAAGTCCCAAATACTGCCTTTGGGAAAGCTAAATTACTAAACTTAGCTATTACCAATTCTGATATTGTAGATATCAATAGCAGGTCGGAAAACTGAAAAACACTCACAAAATGTTCAGTTGAACAGCAGAAATGTTCTTACAAAATTTTTACAGTTCTCCTATACGCAGCACTGCCGTTTTCCCATTAAGTGAACAGAAATTTGGAATTTTACTATCAACTCAAAAGACATCCAGGACTGCTGCTACCAGAAAACTGGAGAATCCCATGATCTTGGGCATTCCTCCCTCTAATTTTACAGAAATGGAGCCTAGGATACTTAGGTAACCGTTCTGTCTTCAATAAAGTCATTTGATGCTAATTCTACTGAGTTGTTAGATTCTAGCTAATTCTAGGGAGGCATTAGATTTGTCCTAAGTCAAGAAAGGTAATTGATAAGATCTCAGCATATCTTTTGTATAAACCACAGATATTAAAGCTAAATAATAGTAAGTTTGTGGATATTCATAACTAATTGAACAGCTGTACTCACTGATCAACATCAAACTCTAGGAATTCTCTAATAACACACCACGGGGCTCAACTCTCTATTGTTTATTTCCTGTAATCAGTGATTTGGGTGAACATATAGAGAACTGATTTATCCTATCTACAAATCCTCCAATGTTCTAAAAAATATCTAACAGGTAAATCTTAAAAACGTGTCTGTGTGCCGGTTAACTAAATATTTCTGGTTTACTGATGGTCAAGCACAAAATCATTTTTGTTTTAACCATGACTGCTGGCAATAGACCCAAAACACATTGCTCCTCTTTTCTCTCTTACGAAACACGGTATTCTGAGCACAGTGACTCTTTCTCTGAAAGTGGGTCAGTTCTCATTGTACCATTGCATGGGCAGTCCAGGAATTCAGCCAGGTTGCTCTGATACAGCTGGAGTGGTTATTAAAATACCAAAATAGTTCCGTTCCAGTTGATAAACAGCTGCTTCCCTAAGCCTCCCCAAAGCCTGCCCACTACCTGACCCCCTCCTCTAATATCCCTAAAGCTCCCTATCATCAAGAAACTAAAGGAGTAACCGTGAGGTCTGCAGTGTCCTGCTTCAGTGCTGTCCCACGTTCTGTCCCAACTGGAGAATCATATGAACCAGTAGTCAAACATGTTTAATACTATTGTTGCCTATAGGAGTAACTATTATATTTAAGAAGCAATTGAGCTGAAACTCAGCTGACCCCAGGGTATACTATAGAAGATAATTTGTTATAGTTTGTTTTTGTTTATTTTTAAATAGTAAATTCTTATAATATTCCTTTTTATATTTCAACTCTTTCTTACATGGAGGACTTAGCAAATATCTCATTAATTAAGCTTTCTGGTTAATTAAAATTTTGCCACAGAAGTTATTGCCCCCTTTTCAAAACATCATCATCACCCATTTTCAAATTACCTTGTTTGTCTCCTGTTAAGACCCAGATCTTAATATTGGCTAGTGATAAACTTGTAACTGTTTCAATAACACCCTCTTGTAACTTATCTTCTACAGCAGTGGCACCTAGTAGCTTCAGTGAAAAACAGAAAATATCTTATGTTAATGCACGCAAACAACATCCATAACATCTATGGGTTTCAATCAGAGTTTAGAGGTCAAGGAACATGAATTAAAGACGGAAATTATGATGCATTGAATAGCAAACATCCTATTATGTACAGAGGTGGGTTGGGAAGGATCCCAGGAGAAAGTTCCCAAATCAAGCCAACTGATGGGCATATCAGTTCATGGCAGAGCTCCTAGAAGTTAGAACTTACATGAGGGGTCTGACATGCTCAGATAACTTATTAGCATAAACAATCAGAAGCCATTTGGGCTTCTAAGGACTTAAGAACTCCCCGTCTGCTTCCCCACTTATATTGACATGGAATAGTCCAAAGGAGAGCCCTCATCTCACAGTCAGGATCACGAAAAAGTAGAGCCATTCTCCTGTGTAAACAAACCAGCAAATGCCATAAACTAAAAAGTGAAGGCTCTTGTGCAACATTTCATCCAAAGATGAAAAAGTGTGCTTTCTAGTACCTCACAATAGCTGAGCATCCAGGCCACTGGGGCCTCAGGGAAGAGCGGTTTCTAGAATAGATCACTCTTTGAACAACACAGACACCATCAGAATCTCATGAGCCTAAGACGGTTTAGAGCTATAAGCGTCTTTCTTCATGGCAAGTTTCCCTGCTTTTAAAAAGGTGGATCATAAAGCAGGCAGGAAAAAACCTCATAACATCAGGGACATACCAGAGATTGACAAAGAATGTGGAGTGTACTACCTTCTACTCTTGGGGGACTTCCAATTGTCTAAGCCACCGCTAACAGAAATAATCTTCTAGGCTCTCTAGGGCCATACATGGCAAACTCAAAGGCAACGTATAAAGCATGATTCAACGTTTGAAAGAGTAACATCTGCTGTGTGCAAGATGATTTAGCCAATGGATTATTCCTATGCCAGATCTCTAAACACATACTATCCCTTGTGTAAATACGAACCATCAAATCCCTTTCGATTTCTTCATACAGCCCAGCTATCCGCTCATCCCTCTCATCTGTGGCAGTATTTGCATCTTCAAGCATCTTATGCCATTCTTTAAAGTACTTGTCATCCAGATCTCTGTATGCGATGGCCAAGGTTCGAAGGCCTTCCCCTGCAAACTCCTGCCAGAGCAGACATAGGCTTAGGAACCATCACGAAACATAATCACAGCAATAACAACAACAATAATGAACAAGAAGTTTTTCACTCAAATTCATTGTGTCCCAAGAGGACTACGCGGCCATCTTGACTTCCCACTTTTTAATCTCCTTGGAAATGGGAGATAATGTTTATATTTGTATTTTATTTCTATGGGGTTAAAACATTCACAGGAGCTAGCCTTACTCCTAAGATCAAGTGAAATGCCTGCTTTTCAAATGAAGTGTTCTAGTTGAGAGGCAATTAATGGTGCCCACGACTTGAGATATCCATTTGAAGCAACATATATTGGTTCCCAACCTATCCTCTGCTCATTACTTTTTAGAAACTGTCTTCTATGGAGTTAGTATTTAATAATAGGTCAAATTAATTAAAGAATCATACTTTTCCTTTAGTGTCTCAGTAAACTGACAATCTTAAATGATACCTACGCTGCTTTATCCTTATACTAGGGGAAAAAATAAAGCATAAAAATGGGAGACTGGTAGTTGCTAAGTGTCTCACACAGCCACGATAGCTAGAAACATGTGTAGACTACTTTGGAGAAATGCTAAAAACCTCCCACTTTGCCTAGGCCTCCAGCGGTCATTTGATGGGCCTCTCCCTGCAAGTGTTTTTACAACTATTTCTGTCCCTTTGGGCATTGCCACAGAGCATATCTTCTCTGTTGTGTTCTGGCTGATGGAACAGACATAGATTTGTGATCAGGCACAAGTTAAACCATGACACAACCTAAGTAGGTAAATGGGAAGAAAAGTTGGTGCATACTGCAAGGATGTGGTTTAGCCCAGAGACACCATAAGAAAAATTACCAAATTTATCTCATAGGCAGTTGGTAGCACTTTGGATATTGCAATCACACAAACCCTGCCTTCCCAGACCACCTCTGGGTCTCCTACTGATCTGAAAATCTAGTTACTGCCTCCTAACACTCTTTTGTCCTCAATTCGCACAAACACTTCTTTGCCTTTAACTTGCAAGCCCGCTGGGCATTATTACCAGGACTGTCCTCTCAACTGCACAACAGTGAATCAACACAAGGCTGACATTACAAAAGAGGACAGATGATTTAAGTTACTTAATTAGTGCATGGAACACAAGTTTAATCCTAGCTGAGCATTTGAGCAAGGTCATTTCCTATCATTAAACAATTCAAAATCTATAATTAAATATAAATGTAAAACCTCAGAATTTAGATGCCAAAATGAATAAAGCCAATGAAGCAAAGAGCAATTCAAATGGATATTACCTGAAAAAAAATGTCTTTTGCATAGAAATGTAAAAAGATCAAATTAGACTTCCTATACTTTAATGTGAAAGGAGGATGTATGACAATCCAGGGCCTTGGTGTTGGCGCAATGGCAAAAGTCAGATACTTATGATTCCAATGTTGTTTCCATAAAAAAAAAAAATTTAAAAGACCATGTCAGCCTTCTGGAAGAGATTAAAAGAAAATCAAGAATGCTCTATTGGAAAGACAAAAACAATAGCTATGTTTGTAACCAATATTACTAAACCATCATTCTTCAAACTTAAAGTCAGGCAGAGTTTTTTTTATTTTATTTGTTTGTTTGTTTTTTAGAGAACCAGGGAATGTTTTATATTAAATATAGGGCTTAACAAAGAACATGAATCCTCAATAATTTTCTAAAGGAGAGAAACCAGTGAGGAAATAGTTTTGTACCACTTGCCCTTAAAGTTCAGATCAGGTTGAACAGAACCTCAAGCAAATGTTAGAGACACTCGATTCTCAGGTTTAAACTAGGTAATGTTCATATGAATTCACAGACTCTTATTCTTTGGCAAAAAACCGTGTGCCAAACATAAACCCCGCTCCCTTCAGAAAGCTTTTGGAAAGAAATCATGCACAGTCTCAGAATGCATGCATTTGGTAGCTGCCACCTAGAGAATGTAAGTGACTCATCATGATTTATGACTTGAATAAAAAGACCCTTGGAGGAGAAAGTTGGCTACAGAGATGATTTTCTTCTCAGCATCTAAACACAACCCTCCCCTCCAGGGGTAATCATAAGAGATTCTGGTGATGCCAGACACATCGGAAGCTAAGGGAGAGCAACTCTCCTGCTCCTCTCCCCAGAACCAGTCCAGACTCCCAAGGGCAGCAGCCCCGAAGTGCAGGGGAGTCAGAGCAGGTTTCCCTGGGTATCCTGAGCCTTCCTCTGGCCTGAGCTCTGGAGCCCACACTCAGTGGCTCCTTCTCAGCTGCTGTGTATTAATTCACCTGTGGTGAGACTAACGAGACTCCCAGCCTGGGGGGAGCCTTAGGCGGGGTATCCATGTGCCAGTTTCCAGACATTTTCTGGCACAGTTTCCTGTGGAACTGCTCTCCACATGCTTTCTATTTCAGAAGTCAGATCATTTAGCTGATATTTTCAAAATAAGACCTCACCATAGGAAGTGGCAAAAGGGCCATCGTGCTGACCTGAAGACAGAGGCACTTACACTAAGATGGTCTGACGTCAAAGTCAGAAGGTCTTCATTGGATGGATGAAGTTTTTCAAACAGAATAGTATCCGCTCCTTTGGAATAAAGCTTTATCTGTCCCTTCGGGTTTCGAACTAAAAAGAAAAACATTTGGAAAGTAGATTATAATCAATGAAATCCATCAAAACTAGACCCTCACAGGCTCCAGCCAGGCAATTTGGAAACGAGCATAATGTTTTAGCCAGTAGTAAAATGCCCAGTGCCTTTAGGTAGTTCACTTCCTAAGGCGTTTGGCTTTATTCCTGTTTTATTAACTTAGGGATATTCCACCTACTGGAATCCTTTGATTTCCCAAACTGAGAAACAAGTATTTTCATTCTGATGCATCTGACCTTCCTATTTTCCTTGCCTACTATTTCTGAAGGGTTGATACATTTAAATGGAGCCTTCTGTATTGAGCAGAATTGAGAGCTTTGTTTGCCCGTCTCCTGGTGTGAAATTCAAGATGGACAGTAGGAGTCAACTATCAGTGTTATGCCAAATGATTTCCATACGGAATTCTAGCCACTCAAAACGATGGTTTCTGCATCAGTTCTCAGCGCTTGCTGACATATTTCTTTACCCCCTTTACTCCTGGGAAAAGTCTCTTCATTCCTGATGGTTCATTCTTGGATCACAATCCTGGCTGCAAGCATTCCTCCAGAGGGCTTTTAAAATGAATGTTTCTACCTTCCTCCACTGGAAGGCTGCATTAGTAGGGCTGTGTTTTTAACCTGTCTCCCCCAACCCAGGTTTGGGAATGAAGCCCTGAGCAGGTTCCCCTCATCTCCAATCCTGAGCCTTCCTGTGGCTGTCCTGCCTGTTGCCGTCAGACAAATCTTTCTTTAAACCACAGACTACTTGGCCTACCTTTGTAGGCTTGGTTTTACAGTTTGACATATCCTAGGCAGTTCATTATTTGTTGAATGAATGAATGACATAGGAATGTATTTCTTCCCAGGAACCGCCTACAGTTTAAGACAACTACCTGGGTCACAACTTCATGCTCTGAACACTGACATTCACAGGTTTCATCAAGTCAAACATTATTACAAGCTTTCCACTCGGTTATACCTTTTCCCTAAAAATAGGATGCCACAAAACAGATGAACATAAATATTGACTATTACTAATTTAATAGGATACAAAATTTAGAGCTTGATTTAAAGGGATATAAATATCAAAGTACAATAAATGACTTTCCCCTCAAACCTTTAACTACCGTTTATTGTTGTTACACGTGTCAAGTCAACTCTGACTCCTGGTGACCCCATGAATGTGTGATGTCCCCAGTGTGCTGTCCTCAGCAGCCCTACTCAGTTCCTGTAGACCCATGCCTGTGGCTTCCTTTACGAGGTCAATCCATCTCATATTTGCTCTTCCTCTTCTCCTGCTGCCTTCTCCTTTTCTCAACATTATTGTCTTTTCCAAAGAGTCCTGCCTTCTCACGATGTGCCCATAGTAGGACAACCTCAGTTTTATCATTTTTGCCTCCAGTGATAGCTCAGGCTTAACTTGTTCCAGGATCCACTTGTTGGTCTTTCTGGCAGTCCAGGGTATCCGTTGGGCTCTCTGCCAACACTATATTTCAAATGAATTCATTTTTTTCCTGTCACCCTTCTTCACTATCCAGCTTTCACACCCTTACGTAGTAATTGGGAATACGAGGGTGTGAATAGTTTTGGCCTTGGTCTCTAATGACACTTCCTTACACTTAATCGTTCCTAATTCTTTCATTGCTGTCCTTCCAAGTCTCAGTCTTCTCTTGGTTTCTTGGCTGCCGTCTCCATTTCAATTGATGACTGAAGCAAGGTACACAAAATCTTTAACAATTTCAGTGTCTTGTCTAGGTTAAAGTTGTGTAGTTCTTCTGTTGTCATGATTTTTGTCTTCTTGATGTTCAAAGGCAGTCAGTCCTGCTTTGGCACTTTCTTCTTTCACTTTCGTCAGAAGTCGTTTCAAGTCACTGCTGCTTTCTGCCAGTAAGATGGCGTCATTGCATCTTTTAGATTACTGATATTTCTCCTGCCAATTTTCACTCCTCCTTCATGTGAGTCTAGCTCAGTTTTTTGTATGTTATGTTCTGCATACAGATTAAACAGATAGGGAGATGAAACGCACCCTCGTCTGACAGCTTTGCTTCTAGGAAACCATTATTTCTCCATATTCTGTTCTGACTGTGGCTTCTTGTCCACAATACAGGTTATGCATCAGGAAAATCAAGTGCTGAGCCATGCCCATTTCTTTCAGAGCAGCCCATAGCTTTTTACAATCCACACAGTCAACGGCTTTACTACAATCTATAAAACATACATTAACCTTCTTCTGAAATTCTTTGGAGCACACCAGTAGCCAACAAATCATCACAATTAGATTTCACGTGCCTCTCCCTTTTCGAAACCCAGCTTAGACATCAGGCACTTCTTGCTCCTTGTAAGGTAAAAGTCTTTGTGGCACCACCTTCAGCATCACTTTACTAGCGTGGGAGACTAGAGCAATGATCCTATACTTCCTGCTCTCCTTGGCATCTCCTTTCTTAAGAATTGGGATATATATTGACCATTTTCCATCTGTAGGCCATCATTTTGTTTTCCATATGTGTTGGCATATTCTTGTTAGGATTTTGATAGATTCAGCCTCAGTCGCTTGAAATAATTCTATTGATATCCAACTTACCTCTGGTGACATTTCTTCCCAGTACTTTCAGGTCAGGTTTCACTTCACTTTCTAAAATTATGGGTTCTTCCTTACAGAAATCTTCTTTAAAAGAATTACCCTTAATCAACACTTAATCTATTCTAGCTTTCTCCTGGCTTGAATAGATCTAATGCACCCTGGAAACTTTTTGCATTGAGACTTGTCTAGGGCTTGTCTGCTCTTCGAAGACCCTTGGTCAGCTTTCCTAGTTGCCAGAACTCATGCCGTTTTTCTTGTACTCTGGCTCTAACTGCCAGCATTGGGAAAGAAGAGAGAAAAAAAATACATAATCGATCTAATTGGTCAAGTGAGAGAAAAACATCTGGTCCTAGGAAAGGCTTTCTCTTGCTTTTCTTCTGTAGCAATTGAATTTAATAATTTCCCCCATATTTTCTCCCTCCTATCACCAGAGCTATAAAAGCAAAGCATGTATATCTTACAATTCCCATATGACTTTTTTATGACTATTTTTTATAGTCCATGCTAGGACATGAGTTCTCAAAATTTTGGGCCCAGAACCCCTTTACACTCTTAAAACTTCATGAGTTTTATATGTGGGTTCTATCTACCAATATTTACCATATTAGAAGTTAAAACAAAAATTTTATTATGTCATCTTATGACACTAATTAACTAATTATAATACTACTATAAGAATAATTATTATAATAAACATATTATATATTAACATAGTAACATACACTATAATTAACATATTATATTAACATATAATAAACATATTACATATTAACATAAATAACATTTCTATGAAAAATAACTATATTTTCCCAAATGAAAAAATTTAGCTTGGAGCGTGGCACTTTTATACATGATTACAAGTCTCTTTAATGTCTGGCTTAATAGAAGACAGTTGGATTCCCATATCTGCTTCTGCATTCAATTGTTGTGATATCAACATCACGTGGCTTTTGTAAAACTCCACAGTATACTTAGAAGAAGAATGAAAAACACAAATAACATAAGTATTATTATGAAAATATTTTTGTCCTTATGAATCCTCTGAAGAACTCTTAAGTCTTCCTAGGGTTCTCCAGACCACACATTGAGAACCACTGCTCTAGGGACATCATAGACCCATTGTGATTTGTGCAAATCCCTTACCATCTCAGTTTCTACGTGTGAAAAGGACAGGTTTAAACAATTTAACTTCTAAGGTCCTTTCCAGCTCTATAATTTTCTAATTCAATAAAGATTTTCCATTCTGATGCCTTCTCCTAACCCAGCACCTTTAAATTTGAGTTTATACAAATCCAATTTCATGGAATCCTGCTTCATTTTACTCAATAAAATTTTAGTTAGCAGCTCAGCAGGTTTCATACATCTTTTCATTCAAGGCTTCTAGTCATTGCTGCAAGGAAATATCAAGGTTAATAAAATCTTAGGCATTTCAGACATTAGCCTTTTAAAATAAACTTAAAAGAACATAACATTTTTCAATGGTCAAGAAAACATGTGGGCAGAGTGTGGACGAAGGTCATAGATTTTTATTCTAGCTATGGAATCTTCTCCCTTTGCCTGTCCTTTAATATTGGTGCTCTTCAGAGATTTACCCAGGATCTACTTCTCCTCCCATCCTTCACACTTTCCATGGGCAGTCACATTTTTCTCTATGGCTTCAGGTTCCATCAACAGGACGACTCCTTTCAAATGTGTGTCTCCTGCCCAAATCTATCTCCAGTGCTTCCTTCTGGCCTGTACATCCAACTACCAATTGGATATCTCCTTTTGGATGTGCCCAGGCACATCCAACTCAAACTGGACACATTATCTTCCCCCATAACTAGCTACTCCTCCTATGACCCCAGTCTTAATAACGAGCTTCACTATCCACTCAGTCTCCCAAATCAGATATCAGGCCATCACTCAAAGCTCCACCCCCTCCACCACCCACACATCCAATCAAAGCCATAAATTTCTCTCTGCCATCTTCTTTCTTGCCTGGTTTATCACATTAATCTAAATGGTTTTATCCATTCCAGTCCTGCTTTCCTCCTAACTCTTCTGTAATCCAGCCAGAGTGATCTTCACACTACTGCTTAGAATCCTGCACTAGCTTCCCTCTGCCCTTAGATCAAGGGCGGACTCCTTAACACGGCGGAAACAGGGATCACGAAGATCTGCTCCCTTCCAGCCTATTTCCTCCCCTGCTTCACCATCTTCTCCTGGATGCAACTACACAGAACGCTTTTCAGTTCCACATTCTCCCTTAGCTTCAAGTCCCTGAAACATGGTAGGCACTTAATAAATATTTGCTAAATTAAGTTGAATTATAATTATGCCAAATTCATTCAATGTGGCAGCTTTGTTTGTGTACATAAAGGAAAGAAAGAAGTCAGAAATGGTTTCCAGGTTTATATTGTAAGAGTAAATGCAACAGCAACACTGTGAAGGGTGATGAATAATTCGACTTTGCCATATCTCAGTTGGGTAGCTGTTCACAGGTCACACAGAGAAACGCCTGTGATATGTCAGTGTGATTTGTACTTTGGTAATCTTTAAAAACTTTAGAGTCGAGCAACCCTTACCTAAAGATCTTATTAGGGCCTTCAAAGCAGCTATTGTCATTTATTCTTTAATGATTATCTGCCACTTGCCTCTATTAATAACTATCTTTGATTTTTATCTCTGTATTTTTACTAACATAATTAGTAGAATTGGTCTTTCCAAAACTATATAATGAGATTGGTATGTTTATCCTGGAGTAGATTCCATACCCTCTGACAAAATTTTTTATAGAAGTCTATTTTTATTTAGATACCTCTGAATTATATCAGGGCTCTTGCCCCAGAATGAAAGTACAACTGATATTGAACTATATATTTATGATTCAAGGAAAGCCAAAAAAATGGAAGGAGGAGAAGGAAAAGGAGGAGGAGGAGGAGAAGAGGAAACAGCAGCAGCAGCAGCAGCAGCAGCAGCAAATGTCTGAGCCTTCACATCAGGCAGGGTGTTGTCCCCAGAGGCCAAGCCATGTGGCAATCATGAGACTAGCACTGTTTTTCTGCCTTGTTATCAAACAGAAACTGTTCTACCCTAGAGGAGTCCCTCTTTCAAATTCCTCCTGATTAAAAACCAAACAAAAGCAAAATAAAGCCCACTAGCCTCCATGCTTTCTGTGGTGGAACATCACCTTTCTTCATATGGGATCCATTAAGGCAAACATCTGATGTTTGTGGTTAAGCTGCAATTTCTCCACAGCCTGTAATGGTGACTGATGCTGGGGAAAAGCCAAACATTTCCCTGTGTAGCAATCTCAGGTTTTTGCCAACACCCTCAGAGCAAAGAGAAGTCAGTTCTGGGCCAACCCAACATAAATAACACCTCCCCTGAAGCAGAAAATAGAAGATAGCTCCTGCTGATACAGCATTAGGCCAACAGCTAGCGTAGCACGTGAGCTCATCAGCAACACTGATGATGACTGCCTACAGCGTGTTGTCAAAAAATTTAAAATAAACTTCCTCCGATGATGTTTGGGTTTTACCTGCTGAGAACAATCTCCCAGAGCTAATTTCCAGTAGTTAGAGACCATAAACCTACCATTACGTACACATACATGTTTTCCACAGTAGAAACTGATTTAATACTATGATTACGATATTCATAAGTTACAAACTGTTGGGTTAAATTTTATTTAACAAACATTTATAGCAAACCTACTGTGTGCCAAACTCTGGGTTTGGCCCCGGGCAGTTTAAGGAGACTAAAGCATAGCACCTGATTCAGATAGCACACACTCTAACAACTGGGAAAGTCATGAGTATCATGGGACTGGTGGCAGACTGGTGATATGAGCAAGGTGCTCTGGGGAACAAAGGAGAATGTGGTTATTAGAGAGTAGGAAAAGAATTGAGAGAACGGGTGATATTTGAATTGGACATTACTAGATGCGTAAGAGTTTTCCAAGAAGAGAAGTGGCAAAGAGAAGAGTTCTAGATAAAGGAAATAGTACCTGCAAAGAGTGAAAAAGTGCAAAATGCGTGCCAGGAATGGTGAGGTCCAGTGAGGCTGGAGCACAAAGTTTTGGGAAGTGGAAAAAAAGTAGATTGAGGTCAGATTGCAAACAATCTTGGATGTCATGCTAAGGACTTTATCCTTTAAGTTCTGGAAAGCCACCAAGGTTTTTAAAATAGATGATAGCAAAATCAGGCCAATGTTTCAGAAAGAATACCCTGGTGTCAGCACAGAGGATTATTTTAAGGGGGAACAGTCTTGAAGATATTGCAATAATATAAGCAAGCAATGATGAGCGCCTTAACTAAATCAGTGGTACTGGAATTAAGAGAAGAGGACAGAAATTTTTTACAACAAAAAGGGTTTTTGTAGGCTATTTTAAGAATGATTGCTCTGTCGCCTTGAGGAGGAAAGACTTAGAAACAGGGCAACATCTGAGGATCCTGCAGGCAAGGCAAGAGACGTTGAGGTCTGAACAAAGACAGCAGCAGAGAAGGAGACAGATTTGAGAAATGCCCCGAACATCTCTGGGGAAAATAATGACTGGTATTTGAGGATCTATTAGTCTAGGGAAGTGGTCCCCAAACTGTGGTCCCTTGACCAGCAGCATCAGCACCAGCATCATCTGGGGGCTTGTAAGATGTGCAAATTTTTTTTTTTTTAAAGATTTTTTTTTTTCGTTTTTCTCCCCAAAGCCCCCTAGTACATAGTTGTATATTCTTCGTTGTGGGTCCTCCTAGTTGTGGCATGTGGGACGCTGCCTCAGCGTGGTTTGATGAGCAGTGCCATGTCCGCACCCATGATTCGAACCAATGAAACACTGGGCCGCCTGCAGCGGAGCGCGCGAACTTAACCACTCGGCCACGGGGCCAGCCCCAAGATGTGCAAATTTTTAGGTCTCACCCAAACCTACTGAATCAGAAACTCTGGGTCTGAGGCCCAGCAATCTGTATTTTAACAAGCCCTCCTGGTGGTTCTAATGGGAGCTAAAGTTTGAGAATCACTAGCCTAGGGGCATAAAGGAGATGGAGGTGTCAAAAGGAAGTGAGCTATAATAGGGGTTAAGAGGCTAGACTTTGGAGAAAAACAAACGTGGGTTCAAATATTTCCTTTGCATCCTACCAGCTGTGTAACAAGTTGTGACAATCTTGGGTAAGTTACTTAAAATATCTTTGAGCTTTAATTTCCTCATCTCCTAAATGGGGAGTAGTACACTATTGCAAGAATTTAATGAAATAATTCATTGTAAAGTGTTCAGTTCAAGGTAAGTGTTAAGAATTTTAATGAGGACTATACAAACAGCAATAGCTGTGAGAAAGAAAGTTCCATTTTAGAGATGTAAAATTTGAGGTAACCACAGTACAACCCAGTGCAGAATCCAGGAGAAGGCTGAGAATGTTTGTGGATCTCAGAGAGAGACTAAAGCTGAAGAGCTATATAGGAAAGTACAGAACACAGGCAATAGCTACCATCATGGGAGAGGTAAAGATTATCCAAGAAAAGCACGAGAAGTGAGAAGAGAAAAGGACACCAACACTGAACAGTGGGATGGAGAGTGGTCAGCAAAGGAGCTTAAGAAAGAAAACAGGACAAGAGGAGAACCAGGAGCCAGTGAGGTCACAGAGGCCAAAAGAAGAGTGGTAAGAGAAGGTCAACAGTCTCAAATATCATTAAGTTTAAAAAGATGGATGATAGATAGATAAGGAAGGCCATTGCATTGGGCAGTTACGAGGTGACTGGAAACTTCTGAGAATGCATTCCTTCTTAAGAGGTAGAAGTGGAAGACTGACCCTAATGGGCTGAAAGAGGAAAGAATGGAGAGGAGCAAAAACTGACCTTGAGAGATGAAGCTGTGACAGAAAGAAGAAAATGGGGCGGCAAAATCAGTGCAGGTCAGAACACGAACAATATCTTTAAGGAAACAGGATGATAATAGAGCTGTGGGCTGAAGGGAGAAGCCAGTGATAAAGAAGAAATCCAAGGCACAAGCAAGGGAAAAGAGAGCAAGGAAGGAAGGAAAAGGAACGGAACCAGGCAGAACCTTCAGCTTTGAAAAGGAACAAGAGCCATTATTCTCTAAGGCAGGAAAAAGAACGAGCAAACTACAGCCTGGGGATGAAGGAGGAAGAGGGGAAAAGAGTAAGTCGATGACGTGCAGCAACTCCATTTTTTTGGAGAAATAAGAGATGAATTTAGCTTGTAAGAGCAAAGGAGATCATGGCCGGGTTGAGGACTTGAGGAAAGGGCAAAGGTTTAGAACATCTGTTATAAGGACTGGGAAAAGGAGCAAAATAAGAATGAGAGAGACACTGAAGAACTGAGGGTGAGCACAGAGTTAGGAAAGCATGGATTTGTTGTGGTGCTAAATACAATAGTAGGTGGTCATCTCCAGCAATGCAGGTAAACAGAGGAAATGAGTAATAACAAGAAGGCCGATGATGATGTTCGCAAAACAGCAATATCAACAACCAGCACGCACCAAGTAATTCAGGAACTCATCCTCAGCCAGCACTGTGTAGTGATTAAGTGAGCGGGCGTTGCAGTCAGACTTGCTAGGTTTGAATCCCAGCTATTCCTTTTCAAGCTCTGTGACCTTGGGAAAGTTACTCAACTTCTCTGTGTCTCAGTTTCATCTTTAAAATGGTCATAAAAATAATGGTACTTACGTATAGGGTTGTTGTGACAACTAAATCAGTTAATTCAAGTAGGGAATTTAGAACAGTGCTGGACAAATAACAAGCACTTGTTAAATGTTAGTTATACTTATTACTTCAATGTTGAGGCTAAGTTGAGGATGACAGAAGTTCATAAATTTACAAACATATCACATCTCTCAGCACATAACCAAGAGTGAGATCATCCCTGAGAGGCAGCAATATAACCATTGTACTATCCAAAGATCAAAAATAATCTCAGCTACCAACCGTACCTATGACAGACATCCTTTTTCTGATATTGTTGAAATCCAAAAAGGCAAGCAATTGATAAGTAACCAGCGTTCCTAGTTCTTCTATTGTTATCGTCTCTGGGGTCCGAGACTTGAAAGTGAACCCAAAATTCCTTGCAGCAGTCACTAGAGCCCCTTCGTCAGGTGACTGAACTTGGTAAATCAGCTGTCCTAAAAGGAAAAGAAACAAGTGCATTAAACAACCAAAAAAGTGTATTAAAGAAAAAGGGAAAAGAAAAAAATGTATTAATACTGTATTAATACTAAATAAAATTAAATTTATTAATAACTAACATCCATAGAATGCCAATACCAACTCGAACTCATTCTATAACAGCTAACTCGTGTGTCAGCTCTAGAAATCAGACCTTTTCTACTCACTAACCACCTGGACCAGGTGCCTGTCCCATGGGATATCATAGGACACCATGCATACCACCACTGGAGGTCATCTTAAGGAAAATACTCATTCCTGAGGCGGCCTCTCCATTATGCTGAAAGTTTCTTAGGTCAGAGACCATATTTCTGTATTTTCAGTGACTAGAGATGTACCATGAAAGTTTCAAAAACTAAAACACTTAATATATATTAACTCACGTAATCCTCATGGCAAGACTTGAGGATTCCCATTTTCTACTGGCAAACCCTATGACTGAAGACGTTCTATGATTTTTGCAAGATCACACAGCCAGACTGATGGAGAAGATGTTCCAAATTCCACTTCAGTCTGCCACTAATGGCCATTTAGGAGAACACATATAAGAAATCCCTTGAAATGTAAGGAATCAAACCAGGATGTTAATTCTTGGTACCTGATATTGTATATGTGTTGGAGTTAGGGTAGGAGGGGAGGGGAGAGAAAGTTTGAGAATCACTAGTAAAAGTAAGCAAAAAAGTTCATAAAAATACACTTTAAAAAACAGCCCACCCCTGGGGCTGGCCCCGTGGCATAATGGTTGGGTTTGTGCACTCTGCTTTGGCGGCCTGGGGTCATGGGTTCAGATCTTGGGCACGGACCTATATACCACTCATCAAGCCATGCTGTGGTAGCATCCCACATACAAATTGGAGGAAGACTGGCACAGATGTTAGCTCAGGGACAATCTTCCTCAAGCAAAAAGAGGAAGATTGGTAACAGACATTAGCTCAGGGCCAATCTTCCTCACCAAAACAAACAAACAAACAAATAAAAAACAGCTCATCTGTATAAAGCAAGCCCTTCTATATAAAATTATATCATCTTTGTATGTAAAAATACATTAGAAAAAGTAAGCAGAGCAGGATCGATATTTACTGATTCATACTGATTTCCAAGATAAATTAAGACAACAATTTGCATGTTAATGAATGTACTATGATTTCTCTTCATTAAAAACAAACAAACCACCTACATATCTGCATATATTCATATATACATAAGCAAACGGAAAGGGTGAATGCACACCAAATTTTACCATTGGTTACCCCCTGGAGGGGTGGGATTAGAGGAGATCAGGGAAGAAATTGTTAGCTTTGCTTTTTTTTTTTTTTTGGAAGATTGGCACCTGAGCTAACATCTGTTGCCAATCTTCTTCTTTCTTGTTTTGTTTCTTCTTCTTCACCCCAATGCCCCCCAGTACATAGTTGTATATTCTAGTTGTAGGTCCTTCTAGCTGTGCTATGGGGGACACCGCTTCAGTGTGGCCTGATGAGTGGTGCCATGTCCACACCAAGGATCCAAACCCACGAAACCCTGAGTCGCCGAAGCAGATGGCGCAAACTTAACCACTCGGCCACGGGGTCTGCCCCCATAGCTTTGCCCTTATAAATGTTTGTATTATATGGTTTCACTTGATACAATAGGCATACATTAATTTTTGAAATTTGAAAAAGGAAAACAATTAAAGCAATTACTTGATTTACTTGTGAAATGATATAATAACTTCCACTTCCGGCAACATATTGAACTGGGTGCTAGGCTCAAATTCCCCTGCTACAAACAACTACAGATTCTGTATAAAACATTTTAATATTTTTGAATGCATCCATGAACTGGCAAGAAAGCAAGAACTGTTCAGGTCAAAGACTGAGAAAAAGAATACAAATGGACTAAAGGAACCACTATAGCCAGCTTTTGTCTTGAGGGCATTTTCTGAACTAGGAAAACTTGATCATTGGTTTCCAGCTTCTCAGGTCTTCGGTTGGAGAGGACATAGCCCAGCATGAGAAATCTAACAGGAGACCACCTCTTAAACCCAGGCTCCCAAAAGGCTACTCTCTCAGAATAAGGGTAAATTGGAAATCAGTGCCCCATTTAAGAGTGTCTGTAAGGAAAACTTTCTATCCATAAATGGGAAGAAAAAGAAAAATCTCTGCTGAAAATGCATAATCAAAGACTGACTCCCATGCATATCTACATCCTAAATTCACAATATCTGGGTGACTTGAAAAAAATCAAGCTGAACATTTAGTTTAATATGTTTCTGCATTTGAACTCTGACTGAAGCAAATGCAAATCTTTGCTGGAGAAACAAGCCTTCATCTCAGGACCCAAGGAATTTCTACAAATTAAGTTCCAAATAAAAAGGTCATCTCACAGTGGAAAATCACTAAAATCACAATAAACAAGACACAATTAGAACCAACAGAAAGAACAGAAAGAATAAGATCTGCAAAAACTTTAGATATTGGAATTATCAGAAATAGCACATATAAACATTTAATGAATTTCAAGACATAAAAGAGAGGTATGAAATTAAGCATATTTGAAAAAGAATTAAAAACTTTGTGGAAATTAAAAATCAAAAACCACAGATTGGATACTACTCGAGAAAGAACTATGCACTGGAAAACAATGGAGAAAATTCCAGAATATATCTGAGAGAGACAAAGAAATGGAAAAACAATAGAATTGTTAAAAGACATAGAGAATAGAGTGAAAATATCTAACATTAAAGATCTAATATGAGAGGGAAAATTAATCAGAGGCAACACTTGAAGAAATATATGGCTGAGGAAACTCCAGAAGTGATAAAAGACGACATTCCATAGATTCAAGAATCTCAATGAATCCCAAGCAACATAAATCTTTTAAAAATTCACATCTATACTAAGAACATGAAAGAAGAAATCTTAAAAGTAGCCAGGGAGAAAAGACTGATTATCTTCAAACCACAATTTGACAGCTAACTACACAGGAATAGAAATAGCAGCCAGAATACAGTGGAATATCTTCAATGTGCTAAGAGGAAAACTGTCACCTTAAATTTCTACACACAGCAAAGCATCATTCAAGAATAAGGATGAAATAAAGTTGTTTTCAAACAAAGTTTTTGAGAGTTTACTACTTGCAGCCTCTCCCTAAAGGAAATTCTAAAAAATACACTTTAGGTCAACAGAAGCTCAGAGACGGGACAAGCATTAAAGAGCATGGACACTAGTAAGTTTATGGATAAATCTAAGCAATCATTGACTATAAAAATAATATCCTGTGGGATTAAAAAAGAAAATACATGACGAGGGTACTATATAAGTCAGGACAAATTGATTAGCATTGAAGGATTCTAAGGTCTTTGTGTTGTTCAAAAGAAGGCCTAGGCTTTAATAAGTTAATTATGCTAAAATTTCTAGGCTAACCACTAAAAGAATCCAAATAAGGGTATATTATCTTCAAAGCAGCAGAAGTAAAAATGAACTCAATTCGTAAGAAGACAATAAAATAAAGGCTAAGAGACAAAAGATGGGCCAAATACAAAGTAAAATGGTAGAAATAAATCTAAATATATCAACAATTGTAGATGCCATTTACAAGAGATGATCTAAAACATAAAGAAAAGAAAAAGATAGATTGGCAGGAAAGAGTGGGAAAAGCTGAACGATGCAAAACTAACAAAAGGAAAACATCTATAACTATATTACCATGAGACAGAATAAACTTGAAGGCAAAAATATTACTAGAGATAAAGAAGATCAACAAATATTAATAGAAGTTTTAATTTAAAGAAGACATAAGTCTAAACTAGTATCTAACTAATAACATGACCATAAAGCAAACACTGGCAAAACCACAACTAGAAATAGACAAATGCACTATTACAGTCGGTGGTTTTAATGTACTCTCGTTAATTGAGAAATCAAGTAGTCAAAACAATCCATTGAGGTAGAAGATTGAACAAAACAATTAACAAACATTATTTAATGGATATGTCTAGAGCCCAGTACCCAATAACGACAGAACGCACATTCATTTCAAGCACACATGAAACATTTATGGAAACTGAATACATACCAGGCCATAAAGCATGCCTCAACAAGTTTTAAAGGAGTGATATAATAAGGCAATAAGAAAAAAAACTCCAAAGTTTTACCTCTTTAATTGCCACCAACTAAAACAGGAAAAAAAAATCCTACTGAAGCACTTGTACTGCCCACTTTCCTGCTTCCGAAATTTCATCCTGACAAAGGGAATGAAAATATCAACTTCCCCCAATGACTTCTCCATGAAACAAACAGCACACACTTAAAATAAAAGCAACACCCTCAACTATAAATTATATAATTTTAAGTTTGCTAGATTTAGGTTCTGTTCTTTTCCATAACTAACTCTCATATAAGAAAAGTTTGGGGGGCAGCCCTGTGGCCGATTGGTTACGTTAGCATGCTCCGCTTCAGCAACCCAGGGTTTCGCTGGTTTGGATCCCAGGCATGGACCTAGCACTGTTCATCAGGCCATGCTGAGGCGGTGTCCCACATAGCGCAACCAGAAGGTCCCACAATTAGAATATACAACTATGTACTAGGGGGCTTTAGGGAGAAGAAGAAAAAAAAGAGAAGATTGGCCACAGTTGTTAGATCAGGTGTCAATCTTTAAAAAAAAAAAAAAAGAAAAGTTTATATTTTTTAATGTACTATTACACACATGGATTTAAGCTATCTATCCTATAATTAAAGCTTTAAATGGAGAGTAAATGTAATTTTCTCTCACTCAGTGATGTAATCCTTCACTTAGAATTTGATATCTCAAAGCAAGAGACAGAAATAGCTGAAAGGATACGTACATTTACCTCTCTTCATTTCAAAATACCTTTCTACGGCAGAAGAAATATTAGCCAATATCCACTAGCATGGGTAAAATTTAAGGATGATAATATTAAATGTTGGTAAGAAGGTGAAGGCACTGGAACTCTTTCTTATACGTTTATGGTAAGAATGTAAAATGATACAACCATTTTTGGAAAATAGGTGGACAGTTTCTTCTAAACTTAAACACACCTACACTATGATCTGGCAATTTCCATTCCTAATATTTACCAAAAAGAAATTCGTTAAAATTTTTTTAAAAGACATAAAAATGTTTATGGAAGCTTTATTCATAATAACTCAAAGCTGGCAACAACCCAAATGTGCAGGAACAGAGGACTGGAAAAAAACAAATGTGGAATTAACACAACGGAATATTATTGCACAATAAAAAGAGAATGCAATAAAAAAAGAATGAACTATTGATTGATACAACAACATGGGTGAGTGACAAAAACATTACATTGTGTGAAAGAAGCCAGACACAAAAGAATATATATTATATGATTCCATTTATATGAAGTACAAGAACAAGCAAAACTCATCTTTGATGATAGAAATCAGGGCAGTTGTTGGCTTGGGAGGGTTTGGGGGTGTGAACTGGAAAGGGACATGAGTAATCTTTCTGGAACGATGGAAAAGATTTATACCTTGAGCAGTGTGGTGGTTACATGGGTGTATACAATTGTCAACACTCATCAAATACACTTAAGATCTGTGTGTTTTATTAGATTTAACTATATCACAATATGAAAATTTTTTAAATGATACTAGGAAAGAAGATGAAAACCATCAGTAAACTAGAAATTTGAGAAATGGCTGCAAGATAAAAAGTAGATTTGATCAGTAAAGAAATAAGAAAAGAGAAAACTCCAGCTCAAAGCATTCACAAATGAAAATGAACACAGAAGTAAGAGCAATCCCCAAAGATTCTCCAAACTCAGAGTCAACAATGGGAAGTGTAGACGTGGTCTTGGGGCATCATTAGCAAAATTAGTCGGAGAATTCCACTCAGCACTCGGGACGACTTGGGCTCCTCCCCGTCAGCTGACTGAACAGGCTGCGGTAACACTCGTCCCCAGGATAAAACCTTGACAATGTTCTTCCACACAAAGAGTACAGCCCACTTAAGGAAACAAAGATTTGAATGCTGAGGCTGGAGACCAAAGCTGAGAAGAGCCTCAAGTGGCTTCAGAATTCCACAAGGATAAGAGAAAGGAAAAGAGGGAAAGGAACTCTATGACTCTGCTGTTTCCTTCCAGGCCAGGCCTTAAGAACAACTCTCTCAAATGGGGGCTCTGGCACTGACTCCCAGCACTAGATCTGAAAAGGGAAGATAGTTGATCCAAGGTATCATCTGAATCCGAGGAGGGAGGAACCCTACACCCAGAAGACGAGCTCTGTATTCTGCTTCTGCCACAATATTGGGAGGCAGGCCATTGTAATCATCCACATTCACCAAGAGACAAACAGGGATTCTCAAACACAACTAAGAACAGGCAACCACAAATCATCGAACACGAGAACAGCACAAAAGTCAGACATAGACCTCAAAAAACACCGTTCCGTCAAATGAAACATAATATAGGAAACAAAAGAAAATTTCAATTTAAGCATAGTTAATATCCTCAAAGAGACCTAAGAAAATATAATGACATTAAAATAAAAAGATTGCTAATAAAATAAAAGATTTTTGGAAGTGAAATAAACTCAAAGGCAGAGATAAAAGAAACTTACTTAAAGGCATGGTGACAACCTCAGGTGAAAATATAATAAAGGATTATTGGCATTAGTAGTATAAAGATCAGTTTAAGTCATAAATATAATTATGTGAATCCTCGCAGCAATTAAAACCAGAGGAATGGGATAGTCTAGCATTATCAAAGACAAAACTATGGTTCGAATACAGTCCTAACAAGGAAAAAAAAGGAAAAAATAATAGAGAGAGAGAGAGATAGAAAACATTTATTCAAGTGTCTGTATGCAAATTATATATATATATACACACACACATATATATGAGACACACACACGTATACAGTCTAGAGTCTATATATAATATATTTCACTTCTGAGTTGAAATTCCTTGGGTGGTATTTTGTACTCAATAGTTGGTAACAGAAATAAATAGAACTTATAAAGGGAATAGATTGGGCTCGACTGGAGCAAGAAGCCAATTGATTATACTGTTATCCACCTGCCTCATCATTTTAATGTTACAGTGGCTCAACTGATTTTGTTCTACTCTATGAAACCTGAGCTCTAAACAACCATCTTACTAATGTGAGAACTTGTTCCTAATAGTGACTAAATAAGAATATTCTACTATCAGTGTAAATCTATCCCCATTACTGGGAAAATTCATTCTAAGCATATGCCTGATGGCCATCTGCATCTCTTAGACGTGCATGTTAATAACGAGAGGTTAGTGACTTGACTGTATTTCCCTAATTGTCCTGGCTGCTAGGAAGCTCACAGTCAAATGTGGTGCTCAATCATAAGAAGTATTTCATGCCCTTCCCTTTAATTGGGCCCTCATGTTTCCATTGCTCCTATTTCTTTTCTTTTTCTTTTCCTTTAAGTCTCTCCATATTTTTTGGAAAACATTTGGGATATAAAAAAATGTAAAGAAAGCTAGTAAGAGGTAAACTCCTTATTCAATGCTGTACTTTTAATTAGAAAATCCTTCCAATTCTAAACATTTTTAATAAAAATATCAGTTCTGATTTAAAAAACAAGGCTCACCACTCAGACACACTTTCCACTTACCTGCACTATTTTCCTCTGACATTACAGTGTGGCAGAGAGCAAGTAACCTAAGGAATTCGTGCACTTTGGGATCACCCAGTTTAATGGCTTCCATCAGATTGTGGTCAAAGAACTGAAATGTTCTCTCTGCTTGGGAGTTGACTGAGAAATCCACAGGCTCTTTTTTCTGTAGAACAACAACAACAACGACGAAGGAACTGCAGACTTCATTCCAACAATAATCTTAAAATTCAAAATTCAAAAACACTTCCTCTAAGTATTTTCAGTGCTAGTATGATTTTTCAGCCTCAAATATCTGGCACTAAAATGGCTTTCTGTTCCCTCTTTACTGTTAAATTTTACCTTCTCGTTTCAGAGCTATGCACCAAAGCAGCGAACCTTCCAAAAGCATATGGGGAAGAAAAATATCCAGTGGGGGTACAGATCCTCAAATGCTTTTTTGCAACCCCAAAATACAAAGAAGCCCCAAAAACTGAAAGTTTTTTCTAAACCTGCTCGATGGCAAAACATGACCCAACTTGAACTCATTTTAGCAGCAAAATCTGACCTGGAACGATACGTGACTAATTATAGACTTCTTTTAGTCTCCTTAGTATGAATTAATATTTTCCAGTGCAAAAATATTAATGTGTTTGATTACAGAGTACTTTCTGAGATCTCACCGGAGATATTGCATAATGCAATGACAGAAGTAAAATCAGGATTTTGAAGGATATTTGCACTCACATGTTCGTTGCAGCATTACTCACAACAGCAGAGTAAAGAGTCCATATAGAGAAAGAATTGTTAAAAATTATAATGATACAAAGTATAACCTAAAATATTATAAAACTAAGACAAGATATAGCCCAATGTAGATGGCCTGAACTCACTTATTAAAAGATCGGAATGCAAAGCAAAACCCAATCATATGTTGTACACAAGAGACACACCTGAAACAAGGTCATTTCATTCAACAGTGAAAATAAAAGGTGGGCAAACCACAAATGAAAAGAAACCAGGAGTCGTGATCTTAATATCAAATACGGTTGAATTTGGGTCAAGAAGAATTAAAGGAATCAAAGAAGGGCACTTTTAATGTTAAATTGTGTAATTCATAGTAAAAATGTAACCGCTATGAACACCAAAGCACCCCAAAGTAGCATCAGTACTCATCAAACAAAGATTTCAGGCTATATAGGAGCTAGAGAGAGAGATTATCGAAGACTTTAATTAACCTCTTTAATCCAAACAGATAAATATAGATAAAAGATAAACGATGAAACAGAAGATCTAAATAATATAATTAATAAGGTAGAACTAGATGACATCTAGCTAATTTCATACCTTGAAAACAGAATCTAGATATGCTTTTTTAAGGACCGTGGAACATTAACAATTGATCACATTAAGTCAAAAGAAAACCTCAGTAAACTCTGAAAAAGTAAAATTAATAAAAATATATTCTTTTATTAAAAGTATAATAAAGTTAGGGGAAAAAAATCCCCCACCACTTGGAAAGTTTAAAACTCTTCCTTAAAAAAATTCATGGTTCAATATGGATATGCAAATTGATATGACAAAAATAAAGACACTTTAATAAACTACACATCAAAATCCATGTGATAAAACTAAAATAGTATTTAAAAGAAAATTAATAACCATAAATATTTGCATAAAAAATAAAAATAAATGTTAAGCATTAAAGTATGAAGTTATGAAAAGAAGAAAAGAAACCTGAGGAATGAAGAAAGAAGGTGTTAATAAAGATAAAAGCAGAGTTTATCGATTAAAACACACACAAAAAAAATATAGATAATAAATAAATCCAAAACATGTACTTTTTTATGGGAGAAAGAGGCAAATTTCTAATACAATCAAGACAGGAAAAGAATAAGAAAAACAAAAAATAAGAGATAATAAAAGGAAATAGCCACAGATAAAGAGGAAATTAAAGGAATTATAAGAGACTTCTTTGCTCAACTCCTTGCAAATAAATCTGAAAATCCTATTGGATTGGATAATATTCTAGGAAAATAAAATTTTCCAAACCGTTTCAGAAGAGATAGGCATTCTAAACAGATAACCACTATAGAAAAGAAAATAAAGAACATTATGAAAGGGTTACCACGCCAAACAGGACCAAGTCCACATGATTTTACAGTAGCAGTTTATGAAACCATTAAGGCACAGATCATTTCTGTTATATAAACTGTCCCACAAAGTATTCAAATAAGGAGAAAATACTCTCTTTCTAAAACAAATATAACATCCATAGCAAAACAAACATTACTCTCCAAATGAACATTGAGGACCAAAGTTTTACAAATACCAACGCACATATCTAAATAAATCATTAGGAAACAGAATCTAGTAGCTCATTGGAAACACAGTTTAACATGACAAGTGACATTTATTCTTGGAAACCATGGATGAATAATAATCCAATAGACAAGTGGGTAAAAAATGACAAACTAGAAATTTACAGAAAAGGAAACAATAAGCTATTAAAACTGTGAAAAGATGCTCAACCTCACTCATAATAGGAGAAATTAACATTAGAACCATATTGACATATCAATTTTCACATAGTCTTGTCAACGATCAAAAACTTTGATAAAACATCATGTTGGTGTGGGCAGGGCAGAGGGCACTCTTATACTTCGCTTGTGGCAGGGTAAATTGGTATAAATTCTAAAAAAGGCAATTTTGCAATATTTATCAAATTACAAATGCACATAACTTTTGACTTAGCAATTCCATTTCTAAACGTGGAACTTGCTAGAGAGTATAAGATCCATGTGAAATAATGTATGTACACTAATTTTACTGCATTATTTTATTTTTGCTCATTTTATTATTTTTGCTGCATTTTTTTTACTAGCAAAATATTGGAAATATCCTGAATGTCCATTAGTGTCTCCTTACATAAATTATGGAACATCAATATAACAAAATGCTATTCAGCCATTAAAAAGAATAAGGGGACACTTTTTTCTTTTTTTTTACTCATTTAGAAAGATCTCCAAGAAGCATTGTTGAGAAAGTTGAAGAACGGTATGTATAGAATACTACTACCTACGTAAAAAAATGGAGCAATATCTCCATTGCTTATACATAAATATCTCTAACAGAATAAAAAACAAAAGGAACTCTGTGGTTGGGGGACCTAGATGAGGAGAAATCTTGAACCATATGCATCTATTTTTTTAATGTTATGCATTAAGTATCTCATCTGGTCACAATGGAAATCAGGCCTCTAGGAACTCACCATTTTTAAAAAGCATACAATTTGAAATTAAAAGTAAGAATGAAATTTTATCACCTCCACACCTTAGTTATGTCTGTCTTCCGACCCAGGTCATCCTGCACTTCACCTGTCAAAACCAAAATTGAGAATTAAAAATAAATGAAATTGAAACTAGATTTAGACATTTAGTTTTAAAGAATATACTTATTTATTACAGCACCCCTACTAGATGGTATTATGAGTCCAAATGTAGACTTTTTAGGAGTGTTTTCAAACTGTAACCCTAGACATGGCAATTAATATAGAGAGAGACATGTTTCCCCAAGATAGAACTAAAATGCAGTATGCATTAAAACAAAATAGAAAGCTTGCAATCGTGATTTTCTGTAAATTTTATTTATTACATTATCTATAATGTTTGCAAGAGGTAAATTTTTGTCTTTCACTTTCTCCCCACTGTTGGAGAATCCAAAATTATATCCTAGACAGAGAAGTTCTCATCAGTGCTAGAGCTTGGCAAACACATCTTTGTCTATCTTGGTTCAGGCCAGATACATCTGTGTAATATCAAGGTCAAGTTAGTATGTAAACTTTAAACAACGTCAGGGCCTTCTATATGCAGAGAACATAGCCAGTTATATGCCAGATATTTAAAAATAACTTTTCTTAGTGTCAATCTGATATGTGCTTATTACAGATACATTGGAAAATATAGGACGCTTAACAGTAGAAAATAAAAATTATTAATAATCCCACCACCCAAAGGTAAACAATATTTGTAGAGTTTTTCTCAGGTTGATTTTGTGCACGTGTGTGGAGATGTATTCATCAGACTGTTTATAAATCTCTAGTTCCTGGTGCTTTTTAGCCACTTAAAGTGTAAGAATTTCTCCTGCCATTAAAACTTCTTCGTGAATCTAATTTTGAAGGTTGTATAATAGTCCATGTAGTGTAATTTATTTGAGCTTCCCCCTATTTGGAGGCCTTTAAGACTTTTCTAATTTTCGCTTGGCATTTGAAAGTTTAACACTATTTGCCAGGACTGTATTTTTTGTAATAATAATAAGAGTGACTTGCAGCAATTCTGCGCCAGGTACTTACATTATCACTAATCTTTATAACAAACTTGCCACATGAAGATTTTGATTCCTGTTTTATGGATGAGGGAACTGAAGAACTGAGCTCAAAGTGACATGACTCAACCAGAACTAAAAGGGCAGCAGAGTGGCTTTTTGAACCCAAGTCTTTCTCTTTCCGCTACACAATGCCATGACCAAAAAAGCACTCGACAAAGAGTTACCTGCTGTTTTTCTGGGGCACAGGTCTAAATCTGGAATGCTGTGTGACTGCATGGGGGGAGGCATCTCTGAGCTGGTGAATGAGCCTAGTCAAGCACCTGGAACTTAAATTTCAAACTCACTGCAGTTATGTTCCAGGCATTACCCCATAGGCAGTAACTCCAATAAATGACAAAAACAAAACAAAACTGCATCTTTGTGTAAAATGGTCCCCCCAAGAAAGCCCATCTTTAGGGCTGGTGAGGGAAGTGAAGAAAAATTAAAGAAGTCTAAGAAAATATTAGTTGTGAGCCAGAAAATAGAAGATTTCCATAAACCAGAGTGGACTGTTAAATTTTCCCAAGGCCTGGATCTACGAGATAAACAAGACCAACTTGTATGAAAACAAGAAAAAGTGATTCTGAAACATTCTGTGAGTGCTTTAATAAGAATATATTTTAATAACATTATAAATAAATCATAATGGCATATAAATTAAGGATCTAATGGAGTTACTTAAATATTTCAGTTACTTTCCTGCATTTTATGAGGGAAATTATAAGCTATCATAGGATTTGTAAATTTGGAGATTGGCAAAGATCTTGGGATATACACTTTGTGAAAAATCAAGGGCCTTCTCTAAAAATAACCCTGTGACAAACATCTCTACAAATTAAATCTTGGTCCACATGTCTGAGAATTTCCTAGAAGTGATAATATTATATTATCATATGTGCCATGGCAAAAGAATCCAAAAGTCCCCCAAATTCAAAATATCTTCACCCACACATCTATGGACAGCTAATTTTTGACAAGGCAGCCAAGAACATACAATGGAGAAAGGAAAGTCTCTTCAATAAATGGTGTTGGAAAACTGCACAGCCACATGAGAAAGAATGAAAGTAGACCACAATCTTACACCATGCACAAAAGTCAACTCAAAATGGATTAAAGACTTGAATGTAAGACCTGAAACCATTAAACTTCTAGAAGAAAACATAGGCAGTACACTCTTCGACATCGGTCTTAGAAGCATATTTTCAAGTAACATGCTTGACCAGGCAAGGGAAGCAATAGAAAAAATGAATAAATGGGACTACATCAAACTAAAAAGCTTCTGCACAGCAAAGGAAACCATCAACAAAATGAAAAAACAACCTAACTAGTAGGAGAAGATATCTACAAACCCTATATCTGATGGGTTAAAAACCAAAATACACAAAAAACACATACATCTCAACAACAAAAAAGTAACAACCCAATTTAACAAGTGGGAAAAAGAATTGAACAGAGATTTATCCAAAGAAGATATACAAAGGGCCAACAGGCACATGAAAAGATGTTCAACATCATTAACTATCAGGGAAATGTAAATCAAAACTACAATGAGATACCACCTCACTCCAATCACAATGGCTATAATTAACAAGACAGGAAACAACAAGCGTTGGAGAGGATGTGGAGAGAAGGGAACTCTCATACACTGCTGGTGGGAGTGCCAACTGGTGCAGCCACTATGGAAAACAATATGGAGACTCCTCAAAAAATTAAGAATAGAACTACCATATGATCCAGCTATTCCACTGCTGAGTGTTTATCCAAAGACCATGAAAACATGAATGTATAAAGATACATGCATCCCTATGTTCATTGCGGCATTATTCACAATAGCCAAGATTTAGAAGCAACCTAGGTGGCCATCAAAGGACAAATGGATAAAGAAGATGTGGTATATATTCACAACGGAATACTACTCAGCCATAAGAAATGACGAAATCTGGCCATTTGTGATAGACCTTGAGGGTATTATGCTAAGTGAAATAAGTCAGAGAGAGCAAGTCAAATACCGTATGATCTCACTCATAAGTAAAAGATAAAAACAATAACAATCAATCACTTAGAGACAGAGATTGGATTGCTGGTTACCAGAGGAGAAAGGGAGAAGGAGGAGGGTGAAAGGGGTGATTAGGCACAAATTTGTGATGATGGATTGCAATTAGTCTTTGGGTGGTGAAAATGATGTAATCTACACAGAAATTGAAATAAAATGATGTACAGTTGAAAATTTATCTAACGTTATAAACCCGTGTTTGTGCGATAAAAAAAGAAAGAAAAACAAACAAAAACAAAACATCTCCAATACTCTAAAATTTTCCCACTTAAATTACTGTTTGAGTTAAGGCAGTAATTTTAGAAAGCCTCTGAAAATAATATTGAAAGAAAATTTTTGAAGGAAAGGTTCTATTTTGTTTACCAGTCATTATAACAGTGACACAAGCAATGCACAGTGTAACTGAGTGCTTGTGGAAGCCCAGGTTCAGAAGCATCTGGGCCACCACCAGAGAAGGGAGGGTGGGCAGAGGAGAGGTGAGGGAACCATGGCGACCATGGGTGATGGGAGTGGAGTTGGAAGAGGAAGACCAAACGGCAGCAGAGTATAAAAATCAACTTCTTGTATTTCTTAGTTTTTGTCCAAGGTCAAATCTTGCTTTAAGATACGTGGCAATGTGTGAAGTTTCCCATCAGGAGACAAAGGCAAGTTTTCTTTCTCTTTTTCAGATTTCCTTTACTGCCTGAGATTTCCGTATTGAGAAACTGGACACTCAGAGTCCAGTGAAGCGAGATTGAGAGTCCAGAGGAAGCCAACAGAAGCCTCCTGCTGAGCTTCCATGCTCTCAGCAGAGGGAACTGTCTACTGTCTGGCCAAAGTCGAGGTGACAGGGTCACATACAAATAGAATGCTTGAAAATCCAAATACAGAGCAGGTATCCTGACAAACGCACACAGACAGGAACTGGGTATTGACGAAATAGCTTCTTTGGCCACTCCAAGTAGCCCTCTCCAGTGTAAATTCTCAGGAATGAATAGTAAATTCTCCCAAACACAGGCCCTAACATCAATTCCAAAGCTGATGGGAAGCAAGTATAAAATTCTGCTTTTACGGCAATAAATCAGACTAAGAAGAATTTGTCTTCCCTGAGATGGGAGTCTATTAAGTACCACAGAGCAGAATCACACAGTTGGAACATGGAAAGGAAACTCAGACTGTATCACAGCTAACCCCCACCTCTACCCATGAATGGTAACAAGCCAAAGTTTCAACGAAACTATCCAACATTCATCCCACAAATATTTAGTAAGGGCTTATTATGTGCCAGGCACTATGTCAGATGGTGGTGGTGCCCCTATTAATAAGAAAGCTAGAGATGGTTTGGGTTTTTTAATTAAAAAAAATAAGGCTGCTTACTTTTTAAGGACTGTTAATATCATTATTTTAAAAAAAGGAACTGTTCCCCTTACCATAGATTCTCCCATTAATGGAACATTTTTTAAAAGTCATGATGTTTTGAGTGAGGGTGCCCGTTTTGTCAGAGAAAACATATTCGATCTGGCCCAGTTCCTCGTTGAGCGTGGTTGTCCGAGCTTCAGCAGGCGTGGCTTTCCCAGAGTAATACATCTTCCGATCCCAGTTTATAAAATAACTGTGTCCCAGACGAATCACTTCCACACTTTCATCCATTAAAGGGGAAAAAAAGAAATGCTCCATCAATTTCAGAACACACAAAGCTTTGCCAAAGTAAGAAGTCTACCAAAGTCTTCACAGTTGAGAAGAAAACGTGATGCTCTGTCCCTAGGTCCTAGTGACCTTCAGAAGCATCTCAGCAGAGTCTGTTCAAAAACCTTTCTAAGTCATTTCCTTGCAGTACCATGAAACAATAGGCTGGTTTTCCATAAAGCCTTAGGGAATGTTCCACAGTTCTCTATTTTCAAGAAACAAGCCTAGTGGAGATTACTTGTGTTAGTATATTGGTTGGCATCTCTCCCATATCTTAGGAGAAACTGTTAAAGGTGTTCGTCAGATGTCTGATCTAAAGAAATGTGTTATTGAGGACTTCCTCTCCAATACATTATTCAATGTGCCTTTACTTTGTCAAAAGAGGTGGAAAGTAGCATCTCCACGAAACACTAAGCAAACCATAGCAGATAGTGAGAGAAAACAAGGGGGTGTTGTCATATGACTCTGCCCATTTATCAAGAAAAGAGCTTTGTCTCATGGTCTAGTGCTGATTTATGGCTTTCCAACTCTGGAAGTGAAATTTCTATGGCCAAGGGTATGAACTTTTTCAGTCTTTTTGTCATACATAAAACCAAATAGATTTCCAAAAAAGATTATAACAACGTGTTTCTACCATTAGATTATTGAAAATTATCTTTATCATATGCCGAAGCAAATGGCATCTCATTACTGTTTACTGTATTTCTTTTCTTATCAGTGAATTGAACATTTTTTTTCAAATTTTACTGGCCAGTTCTATTTCTTCTCAAAATTACCTAAATTGTGTCTGCCTATTTTATTTTTCCTATTCAGACATTAGTGTATTTCTTATTGATTTGTAAGAATTATATATACATATATATAATTTATATATACACATTATGCAAACATGTTACCCAATTTGTCATTTGTCTTTTAATTTTGTTTCCACTATTTTTGACATGAAGTTTTCTCTTTTTAATTGATCAAATTTATCCATAGCTTATAGTTTCTATTTGGGAGTTTTGCTTAGAAAGGCCTTCCCTATGCCAAGATTATATATACAGATACTTAAATTTTTCTTCCACATTTAATTCTTTATCACAATTGGAATTTTTTGAAGTAGGATGTACGTATGAGGCGCTAATTTCAATTTTTGCCAACAGAAAGTTTTTCCATGTGTTCACCATGTGTTGAACAATGAGCCCCTTCCCCTATTGTGTTGGGATGCTTCCACATCTCATAGAAATTCTTTTCCTCACCAGACTCTGTTCGAGGGATTTCAATTTTGTTCCTTAGTATGTCACTTAATGCATCTCTTGTTTCATTATTGTAGCTGTATAAAATTTGGCAATATCTGGGAAGAGACAAGGGAACCTTTATTCTCTCCTTTTTCAAAAATTCTTAGCTGTAATCATGCATTTATTCTCTCTGATAGAATCAATGTATTCATCTAAATAAACTTCAGAATCAATGTATCAGCTTTTTCATAAAACTTATTTTGGATTTTTATCAAGTCTATGTTAAACTCTTATTTGAAAAGAACTAATATTTTATAATACTTAAATACAATTTCAAGGAGAAGGATAAATCTTTCCAGGAATTCAATTTTGAAAAGTACCTCTATTGGTAAAACATTTTCATTTAGTTTAGTTTTGCTTTGTTTTCACACAGGTCCACACCATAGCTTGATAGATTTCCTCCTGGACATTGTATCTTTTTATTGATGGGACAATTTTCTAAATTTTTATTGGTTTAAAGGAAAGACTTTTTTAATATTAAAAGCTTTTTTTAATGTTAAAAAACATGATTATGTCATAAAATCAGACATTGAATTACCTCACTAAGAGTTTTACAGACTTATTCTTTTGGACTTTCTAGGTTTGTAATCATATTGTTTATGCTCTTCCTTTCTAATGGGTTTATTTCAGTTTCAGTTTCATGTCTCATTTTGTTCATTGATATTTCAGTTGCATGTCTTAGTACATTAACAAGGACATCCATAGCAGTATAAAATAGTAATAATAATAGCAAGGACCCATAGCTTTATTCCTGATCTCAATGGGAATCAAGCCTCGGTTTTCTCATCTGTAAAATGAGAAAGTTGAGAGCAGCCTGATTGTACTAACTCTGAACATTTGTCTCCTTGGGGACAAAAGATGACACCCAAGTCCTTTCTAGGCATTAACGTCTACACTTTTAGTTCTATAGGTGCGTGACATAACTTCATCTCCCTTCCCAAAAAATGGTATGGTCTCAGCTCATTTCTACTATTTAAATGATAACACTTATTTCACCCAAACTAAAAATCACACTATGAGCCTGTAGAATCATACAATATAAAAATCAGTCAGTCATACTCTGCAGGTATTTATTTATATGTTGTCTTGTTACAGTTTACTCTTCTCTATCCCCCCTTCTTCCTTGTAAGTTCCTTGCTAGCTGTTCTAATTCAGCTTCATTTTCCTTATTCCATTCTTTCAAAGGTGTTGCACTTACAATGGACCAGGCACAGAGTCTTACCTGTCATAGGTAGTCGGTTAGTGGTGAATGAATGAATCCTGATACTCTATTCCCGAATTTCACCAATAAGGACATTAAGATTAAGTAACTAACCCAAGATCACACAAATAATTAACCACAGAGCTAAGACCAGAATTCAGGCATTTGGTAAAGACAATGCAGACCTGACTTTAAGAATGCCATAAGAATGGTATTATGCAGATAACTGTACAAATCCTTGAAGCCTTCATTTATCTGAAAGTAAAGCATCTCCTGAAAACTCAAAGCAAAATGAATGGAACAGAATGTGATCCTTCTCTGTTGCAGTACAAGCCAACGGAAGTATTCTAAATTAATGTGAATAATGCTTAGACTTTGAAATAGTCTGTAGAGAGAAAGAGTATCCTTTTTGTTTGGGAAAACAGGATTTGGGAGGGCCACAGTGGAACATTCAGCCCTTTGTTTTATAATAGCAGAGAAAAGGAGACAAGTGTTCAGAGTTAGCATAATCAAGCCTCTTAGCGTTCTGCCTGACCACGCAAAGAGCCAGGCTTAGGATTCCGCCCATTCTGTGGCAAAACAAGCAACAGGGAAATGAGTTCTTATTGCTTTAGGAAAACCACTCAAAAGCAAATTCCTTGGGAGTACAAGGGCTGCATTTCTTAAGATGATGTTTTAAAAAACTGTAGCTGGGTATGTTTTAACACTACAGACAAACAAATTGACAGCATAGAAATATCCTACCCAAATCAACGTCCTGTGTTCACGTGGAATTGTTAACCATTCAAAGGAAATTCACACTTTCATCCTCAAGTGACATATGGCACTAATTTATGCTTTGTAGTATTCCAAAGCCTAATGGAAGCTTTTGCAGAAGGCCTTCAATCCTCTGAACAGAAATACCTGGGAGTCTCTTTTTCTAGCAACCTGAAATTTCTTGAAATGCTTTTTCCCCCAAGTTGAGATCAAAATCACTGTTCTTATTTGGTGAGAGAAAAGTTCACATTTATCTTCATCAATACTACGCCATACCAACAGGTACAGAATTCTAGCCTCTTTTTTCGTTTTTTTAAAGATTGGCACCTGAGCTAACATCTGTTGCCAATCTTTTCTTTTCTTTTCTTTTCTTTCTCCTCTCCAAAGCCCCCCAGCACATAGTTGTATATTCTAGTTGTAGGTCCTTCTAGTTCTGCTATGTGGGACACTACCTCAGGACGGCTGATGAGCGGTGCTAGGTCCGCACCCAGGATCCGAACCAGTGATGTCCTGGACCGCCAAAGCGGAGCGCGCGAAAGCAACCACTCGGTCATGGGACCAGCCCCTAGTCTCTTTTTTTTTTCTGTTGACATCTTCACTGATTAATAAAACATACCCAGCTTAAGCGTAGAGGAAAAACACTGTGCCAAGCGTCAGAAGACTTGGGTTTGGATATTGGTTCTGTCCCTAACCAGCTCCACGATCCTGAGCAAATCATCTCATTTGTGAAAGTTCAGCAATAACTACTTCAGAAGATTGTTAGGAGACAGAATGAGATGAAGTACGTGAAAGCACTTGGTATACAATATGCAACGTTACCTAAAGGTAAGGTGGTATTATTTGCAGCAGAAAGAAACTCAGAAATCAATTATTTTAATCCCCTCATCTTACTGAGCAGCATGTGTTTGACAGGCAAACTAAGGCACAGAAAAGCCAAGTGCTTTTCTCCAAGGTCACACAGCTATTAGTGGCAATGCCAAGACCAGAACCTAGGTTTTGACTATTCCAAACAGGTTTTCTTTCCACCACAGGAGGGGAAACATTAGAAGGAAAAAACAATCCTAACCTGGGAATCTAGCCTTGGTCTTTAAAAAAACCAATCTTTCAAATCATTAAACAAAAAATGCCAATGCGCTTCAAAGAAAGAGTGTATACAGAATGTACTTCCCTCATGAGGACATATGAAACTGCGCATGTGCAGATGGCAAACTGCTATGGGCATTTATTCTTCATTTAGAACATAAAAGGAAAGCTATAAAAGCTGACCATAGCTCTTCTGGCAAAGAGCAGGATTTACTACAGACTCTATAATTGGATACAAGCATGAGAGGTCCTCGGAATCAAAGATGAGCCAGTAGGATACAGTTTAAATAGAGCCCACTCTGACCACAGCTCCAGAAGACCCAAAGCAATTTGTGGCATTGTGGCCACATGCCACTACTTCAAGTCAATTTCCCACAACTTGACATTTCAGTTTCCTGACCACTATCCAAAACAAGAGTGGATTTTATGCATTAAACTTCCCTTGCTTCCTAGCTAGGATTTTGGAAAAAGAGAAAGAGAAGCTCGTAAAAATTAGTAGGGATTTAGAGCTGATGATTTTGTGTACTGTTAAAATCCTGGTGATGAGGAATGTCAAACAACCAAGTCTCATCTTGGCTCCAGTGTTGTTAGGGCTGTCTGGCTCAGTCTTGGTAGAATTAGGATCAAGAATGTCTCAGGTGCAGACTGTAGGACCAGTTTCTAAGCCTTATCAAACACACACACACACACACACACAGATACATATACATGTACATATAGAGAGAGAGAGAGGTGTTTGCACATATATATAGAGAGAGAGAGAGAGAAATCACTTTAGCTCTAGTTTGTAGAACCAAATCTAGAAATGGCAGATCAAGTTGTAGAGGGAGTTATGGATCCTACTTCCTATTTGACAATGAATAAGCACCACCAACTATAATTCAACTCCTTCATGTATTCATTTTTAGTTACTACTACTAATAATAATAGGAAAAGTATTAATTCATTATTCATCATTCATTAAGCTCTTACAATGTGTCAGGCATTTTTTTAAAAGCTTTACAGGTTTGTTTACTCCTCATACAATCCTATTAAGTAGAACTATTATTCTCTCCATTTTTAAAGTGAGGAAACTGAGGCACTGGAAGGTAAAGTAACTTGCCCAAGGTTATGGAGCTAGTAAGTGTAGAATAGGATCTGAATTCAGGTATGTGGAGCCAGACTAGTGGCAAGAAGGCACCATCTCAATAGATCTCCCCAAATAGTCTTCCATTTCCGACCCAACATCAACCCAATTCTAACTGATCAGGTTGCACGAGACTATCTTATAGTCCAGGTATTCCAAAGAAAAACATTCCTAAAAAGTTGAATCAAATCAAGAAGAAAATAAAATGCATTTCTTACAATTTGAAAATGTAAAAGTTGAACAGATTAAGCAGTTTAGTTGCCTCATTTGTAAGAGATCGAGCAGATCATAAGCAGAGCAAGACATCTATCTCACTGTTGTAATTTTAAAACAAACAAAACTGATTACACAAAACAAAGGCTTTAGTGAAACGACTTCACTAAAGTGTAAACTCTCCACTTACCTCACGTATAATGAAATGGGTACAACTGTATTGAGAATAATAATATATGACCAGAATGTTAAGAATCCTGAGAACACAGAGTTCTTCTCTCCTTCTTTCCAGAAGAGGAAAGATCTGAACTGGTCCCCAACTTGTTTCTCCCAGATTGAATTTCCTATTGCAAGAATAATTCCCAAGCACACCAGAAACCCAAAGATCTAGAATGAGAACAGAAGTCTGGTTAAGTTTAACTTGAACCCAAAACTAGTCAGATCGATGCAATCGAATTACATTTCTAACTCCAAGAAATTATCATTTGAAAAGCAAGTTGTACAAAGCTCTCCTTACTTATCATTAAACATAGGAGTAAATTCTAACATTATGATGTCAAGAGCTCAGCTAAATATTTTACATACATTTTCTTAACTCTCTCATTGACTTTCTGAGATAGGAACAATCATTTTCACACTTTACAGGTAAAAAACAAAACAAAATAAAATGGAAGCATAGATTATATAACTTGTCTATGGCTGCAAAGCTAATAACTTCACATCCTTGATTCTTGATGAGTGCATATATTTAAGCGGCTTAAGTAAAAAAGATCATATGTCCTGATTTGCCCTGGTCAGCCCCAGTTTATACCTATTGTCCAGGCATAATATTAATGTGTTCCCCCCTTTCACCTTCAAAAGTGTCCTGTTGAAATGATAAAGATATGGTCACTCAAGGCAAAAAAGCAAAAGGAAGAAAATATCAGTCATGAAGAACTGTCTCAGGTTCGCACACTCTGCTTCGGCAGCCCAGAGTTCACGGGTTCAGATCCGGGGCATGGACCGACACACTGTTCATCAAGCCATGCTGTGGTGGCATCCTACATAGAAAAACTAGAAGGACCTACAACTAGGATATACAACTACGTACTGGGGCTTTGGGGAGGAAAAAAAGAGGAAGATTGGCAACAGATGTTAGGTCAGGGCCAATCTTCAAAAAAAAAGACCTGTCTCAGACTAGTCAGGTCTCTTGGTTATAGATGTAACTGCACAATCTTATTTAAGGTCAAGGAGAAAGATAAGGATTAATTAAAATGCTGCATGACATATATACTTTCCTTTTGAGATTAAAAAAAGTGGGAAGCAACCTGAAAATCATTAGCCAACTTTTACATTGTGCTCAGCATCAGTATTAGAAAAGCAGACATTGTGGAGCTATAGCAACTAGAAAGACAAAAGGTCAGTCCCTTGTGAACCCCAGATCCCAGCCTTGGAAAGGAAGACCACAAACTCAGTGAACATGGTAAGACCTGAGCTGAACACCGTGTTCTGGAGACTTGGCTCTGCTAAGTGTCACACTGTCTTAGGAGCCAAGAGCAGCCACTGTTGAAGGAGGAGTGGGGCTGGAGAAGAGCGATGTGTTTCCTCCCTTTTCCTTTTTCCTCCAAGAAAGAATATTCAGGCATTCTAGAACTGCTTTCTCTTTATTCTTTCATGAACAAAATAGGCACATAGGAAGAAAATGTTGGGGAAAACCTGATTTAAAGCATTACTATTAGAGAAAAAGTAGAATTGTGAATCCCTGAAATCCTACAATTTGGAACTGATATCACAGTATCCTCTTTTCTTTCAATGGCTTACGCAACAAATTAATTGAACTGAATTACTTTATAAGCATTAAAATTGGTGCTACTTGACATTAAATGCCCTAATTTAAGGATGGACTCAGCAGCTAATTCCCCAGTGGATCATCCTATTTTTTACCGTGAAAAGCTGAGACAGTCCCTGCTTTACAACCAGTAATCTTACTCTGTGGTGGATACATGTACAACCCCCACACAAGCCCTAGAAGTGGGCTCAGAGCCATTGAAATTGGCAATTCTAGAAGGGTGGCATGGGCTCTGTCTAGGCATGTCCTGGTGGCCCCATGAACGCTGCTCCATGGGGACAGATGTAGCTGAAGGAAAACCCAGGTCTGAGGGTGATCCTGAAAGTATAACACAGAGCCTGACCAATATTTTGTGCCCAAGAAGTATCAGTTTCCTTCTTTCCTTATTCATGTTATATATCAGTCAAGCAAACATCCACGGAGCTCAGATTCTTTACAATTGTGAGTCTGTAATGGGGCAGGTGGGGAAACATGGTTCAAAGTCACTGTTGTCATATTTCAAAATCACGCTCTTCAATCTTAACCCCAATATAGGAGGCAAAGCAATAATACACAGAAAGTAAGATAACAATCAGATCGACAGCATGAAGTAGCACAAGATTAACTCACAAAAGGGTAGGATGCGAGGAACACCTCACTGTCTTTGGTAAATGAGTGGCAGAGAAAATCATTTAAAAATATTCAGAGGAAAGAGATAACCACGGGCTGGGAGGTTTAGAAGGCTTCAGGAAGGAGGAGAACTGTGACTTGGGTGTCAAAGGATTCATAAGTAGAACCAGCTACATAATTTTCAGGGCCCAGTGCAAAATGAAAATGTGGGACTCCTTGGTAAAAAAGTATTAAGAATTTCTACACAACAGCAACAGATCAGTAACAAGCATGAAGCCCTTCAGAGTGGAGACCCTGTGTGACTACACAGGTCACTCCCCCAGGAAGCCAGTCTGTTTACAAGCTATGGAGAGAGGACATGAGCAAAGGTAAGATGACAAAAAGACCAAACTACCTTAAAAAACATGCTTTGTTTTTCAAAAACCAATCCTTGGAATATGGAGATCTTGGAAGACCATGAAGGCCTCCATAGCACTAACCTACCTCTCATAAGAAACTCTCCCAACGGTTGAGAAATCACAATCTAGGAAGTAGAGGGCAGTATACGTGGGCCCAAGATGCAAAATCTCCAAATCTAAACTACCCAAGGAAAATGTAGACTCCTGAAAAAATTCCCAGCAGAATATAAGAAATATAAGATAACAATGACTACTAACATTGCCTAATTTTGTTATAGTAACTTACCCATAGTACTAGCGTATTCATCAGTCTATCAATGCTTGTCCTTTTAAACTTTGTCTTACCGCTGTTCTGCATTAGTTTAGTGTCAGGACCTGCAAAAAAAAAAGGAGAAAGTGAATAACAACTTTGAAACAGTTAGATGATGATGATGATGATGATGATGAAGAATTCCTACTCATATCAAATATTCCTGACAGGAAAAGAACATGTTTCTCAAAATAATTTAGCTTTTAGTAAGAGCAAGGGCCATTATTAAGTTGTATATGGTTCTCAACTGGTGGGTTAACAAGAACTCTGGAAACTGCAAGAGAATTGGTCTCCTTAGAATTGGATAAATCTAGACAGAACTTGTAGCTCAAAGATTTAAGAAATGCCATTTTTCAAAAATCTGTGTAGGGATGAGCTTGTAATTTGAAGCAGTTAAAGATAATGAAGTCAATAAAAGTGAAGAATAATTTGAGAATATTAAAAAGAATGCAGTACAGTAATAAACACAATTCAGAACACAAGTGAAAAATGGAAAGTTAAGATAAGAAATCAAATTCTGGACCTGTTTCTTAGAAAGGTTTGAGGTGGGGCTGGCCCAGTGGCATAGTGGTTAAGTTCACGCACTCCACTTTGGCAGCCTGAGTTTCACGGGTTCAAATTCCAGGTAGGGACCTACACTACTCATCAAGCTATGTTGTGGCGGTGTCCCAAATAAAGTGGAGGAAGGTTAGCACAGATGTTAGCTCAGCGACAATCTTCCTCAAGCAAAAAGAGGAAGATTGGCAACAGATGTTAGCTCGGGGCCAATCTTTCTCACACACACCCAAGAAAAAACAAAACGATTTGAGGTGCCTTTAATGGAGAAAGTGGAATAACTCCAAACAGTATATCAGCAAGTAGTTTAAACCTTTATTGTGTATTGCACACTGCATATATAATATGCACTTTTTGTAAGGGCAAGAATTGTCTTAAATCTTGTGTTAGATTTATTTCAGGTAAATACATTATCTCATGATATATTTACTAAGCGCCTTGTTCAAGGAATTCTTAAAATATTCTTAACTGCTTTAGAGGTGGATTATTAGATGATTAACAAAGGAGAAAATTGGAATATATTGCTAAAGAAATTCCTTATGGACAGAGAAGATGCTCAATAGAAGCAATTAAGTCTTAATTATATCTGACTTCTCTACGTCATCTTCCCATGAGTATCATCAATCCATACGGCCATTTAATATAGGAGGAAAGGGAGAATGGAGGAAAGGAGAGAAGGGAGGCACACGTAAAATTATACACCATCCTAGAAGTCAGGGAAGAATGGGTATTCTTAATAGACTTTCATCTACTTAAAAGACTAATTGAAGCACAGATTGGGGTTTCATAACAATTCACTGTCTTGAGTTGGAAATTGTACCCCACCATCCTATTCCTGTGTAGAGAAGACCACATTTTCTCAGAATTGTTTATTAAATTCATATGAACATTGAGGGTGGGAAACATTTCTTTTATAGTAAAGATCACAAAAAGCACATAAAGTTTGTGATTGCTAAACACTGAAATGTCGACAGACCAGTTTTGTGCTAAAAATTTACATTTCTTAGGCATAAAAACACAAACTAGCAAAAGAATCCACTTAATGGGTTTTTAAGCATTAATTTAAATATATCCACAGATGTTGGTATACATATATCTTCTTCCCCTCATAGTCACAGATCTTGAAAGAATTTTCTATACTCAAAAGCCCCTGCTTCTTCATCTCCTACTCATTACTCAACCTAGTTTCTGGGCCAATCACTCCACCAGAACAGATCTGGTGTTATCATCAATATCCCCCATGCCTTCTTTGACCTCTCAGCAGCCTTTGACACTGTTGACTATTCCATCCTTTGGTAATACACTCTTTTCTTAGCTTCTGTGTTATAAGTTCCCTTGCTTTTCCTCCCACCTCTTTGGTAGCTCCTTCTTTGTCTTCCAGTACATTCATCCCTCTACCCAGCCATTAAAAACTAAGATCCCTTAAGACTCAGGCACAGGCATCTTCTTTTCTTTCTCACTCCACCTTCCCTGGGCAAGCTCATCTAAGATCACAGTTCTGATTACCATCTATAGGTCACATGTATATCTCTGGCTCAGATTGCTCCTCTGACCTCTAAACCCATATATTTAATGCCTACATGACATCTCTGCCTGGATCTTTCTAAGGACCCTCAAGCGGCCCTTGTCCAGCCCAACTTGCAATCTTCTTCCAGGGTTCCTTATCTCAGTGAATGGGACCACCATCCCTCCCATTGTGAAAGCTGGGAGAAATCTAGGAGTCTAGTCTATCTCCATGACTCCTACCCTAATCCAAATTACCATCATCTTTCAACTGGACTATGGTAAAAGCCGAGTGACTTTGTCTCCCTGCATCCACTCTGCCCCCAACTCTCATCAATATTTCTCCTCCTCCCTCACCCTGATCATACACTCTTTCTAGGACCTGCTATTTACCAACTTTATAAACACTACAGGCAAGAGTGAACCTTTCAAGTTTAACACATACACACACACACACCCCCATCTGTCTGAAAAACTTGCAATGGCTCCCCAATGCTCTTAGGATAAAGACCAAAATTCTGGATATAGACCACAAGGGCCTGCACAGTCCAGCCCCAATTCATGTCTCCAGTCACATGTCCATCCCTATCCTCCATGCTCTCCACGCTCCATACTGGCTTTCTTGTCTTTTGTTTTTTTTTTTTAAAGATTTTATTTTTTTCCTTTTTCTCCCCAAAGCCCCCCCAGTACATAGTTGTATATTCTTCATTGTGGGTCCTTCTAGTTGTGGCTTGTGGGACGCTGCCTCAGCGTGGTTTGATGAGCAGTGCCATGTCCGCGCCCAGGATTCGAACCAACGAAACACTGGGCCGCCTGCAGCAGAGCGCGCGAACTTAGCTACTCAGCCACGGGGCCAGCGCCGCTTTCTTGTTTTTTTAACCTCACCATCCTCACTCCTGCCTTTGCTACAATGTGCCTTTTCTCTAGCTTGCTCTTTTCTTTCATATTCTTCCCTTACATTCTCCTGTGAGTCCACGTTTTTTTCTTCAGAGCACTCACCTCAGTTTGAGATTATGTATTCATTATTACAATTACTTGAGATTAATGACTCTCTTCTACCAAACTCAAAGCCACACGAGTGAAGGGACCGCATTTGTTTTGTTCACATTCTTAATCGCAAATGAGTAAGTAGCATAGTGCCTGCCACATACTAGGCACTCAAGAAAGAATTGTTCAATGAATTAATTAATTTATTAAGCACCTGCCATGTTTTAGGCAGTGTGCACATGTGCTTTTCACGTTTTATCTCAGCTAATGCTTAAAAGAAGTCAAAAAATTAAGTACTATCAACCTTAGTTCACTAATAATGAAACTGAGGCTTAAAGAATGTGAATAATTTGCTTGAGATTTCTTGTCTGCTAAGTGGCAGAGCCAGAATTCGAACCCAGATATATCTAACTCTAAAGCTCTTGCTCTTAACCACAATCTTTATATGAAATAGTCCATTAATTCATTAATTCACTGACCTCGGTCAATCAAGGTATATTTAAGACTGTTACTCATTCAGAGTCCAAACAGGAAACAGATGACACATTGAACAAGGATAATTGGAGGAAGGTTTATTCATAAAGGGACTCTTTACAAAAGTGTGAATGAAGGTACAGGGGAAGCAAAAGGTTAATGCAGTAACCAGGGATTCAGCTGCAATCAAAACTTTGCCCCATCTAAGCCGGAAGGGAGGGATGAGGGGAGAAGTGGTTACTGGACCCTAAAGGAAAGGGGTGTGTAGAAGTTGCAGCCTTTAGAGGAAGAGGGACTTTATGTTGAAGGACCCGGCCAGCCTGAAGTGACTACACCGGGAGGCAGCCTAGGTGAATAAACACCTTGACCTCAATCTTCTTTCTCTTTGATCTCTTCCCAGGGATCCCCAGTAACAGAGGCCAGCTAGAAGCCAAAGTTCAAGGAAACCTATTAGTGTAACCCATAAAAGTCAGCCTCCCAGGGCAGAGGGAAGAGTGGGAAAGAGTGAGGGTAGATCTGAAGAGGCAAATGGAGGACATTCACGACAAAAACCTACTGGGCACCAAGATGGTGCCGACTCCTATGGACTCTTTAAAGGAATAAAACTCCTACCCTCAGAAACAAGACTATCTCCTCTCTTGGGCATAAAGGAAAAGCCATTAACAGGGAGGCATGGTCTAGTTGTTAATGTATATTAGACCCCCATTAATTATAGATTTGTAAAGTAAACCATGTCTGTGTCAACTATATTCCTTGCACAATCCTTAATGGTAGGTGTAACTAAAGTAATAATGCAGAAATATAGTCAATAATTAATTTTGGATGACTTTCATAAGATCTAGGTGTTCACATGGAGCTAGTTCCCTAAATTAGATGTCTCAAGACTTAGGGTTCTGAGACTCTCATCTGTTCAACTTAGACATTGATGAAACCAACCATTCCTCTGCCTGCCTTGGTTCTAGATAAGCTTTCTATTAACATTGGTGCCCAGACTAAAGTCAATGCAGGCATGCACTGCTCTACAAATATATGCCTCATAAAGGTCCCCTGACAGTGAACATCCAGGCCACATCACAAAAGAAGAGGGTGTTTCCCCAATCCAAGATCCAAGGAGCAGTACGTTTTCCCAACTCTCAGCCTGTGGAGCAGACAACACACGTGGAATTAATGCTGAAAGAAGGGAGAAGCAGGGAAGGAAGGAAAATAACATTTGTCAAGCATCCTCTTCCATATTCATTGTCTCACTGAGCCTTTACGATGACTCTCTATCCCATGTTACAGCAGAGGAAACTAAAGCTTAGGAAGTTTAAGTAACTGAGGCTTAACATCCTACAGCTGGTAAACAAATCTGAACCCAGATCTGTCCAATCCAAATTCTGTGAACTTTCTGTTATACTTCCTTGGACAGAGACCTATTCAAATTACCACCCACTTCCTTCTATGTAGGGAGCATCTTCCCATAGAGCCAACCTTATGAAGGAAAACTTGGCGCCTGAGTGGCTCACAGCAGCTGTCCTAGCCTAACATGCTGTAGCTGAACCATAGTCCTGAATTAGTCATGCCAAACAAGATCACACAAAGGCAAACAAAATTTTGGATGATAGCCCATTCCTAGGATGAAGCACCCTTATTTCTATGATGACAGGGAGCAAATCAGGAGGGTCCTTCCCATCAGTAGACCTTCAAGAAATCTCCCCTTCATTAAGTGGAAGGGAAAGGGAGGTTAATGCATAAGCCTAGCTCTCTTTTTCTCCATGCAAGAAAGATGCAAATAAGGAAATATACAATCACAGGTTTATTTCCCTGATTAAAGAATAAAAGCCTCTGATGAGAGAATTATGAGACCAGATTCATCCCCAGATAAAAGCACATATATTGCCTCATTTCCAGGGATTTCCCAGGTCCTACAATGGCAATACCCCAAGCAGCAAGAGTCGTGCTAACACCCACAGCTGAGAGCACTTAGGAGGAATTGGGAGGCCTTTTCTAGGTTTGGAACACTTTGAGTTTTTAATGAACATTTTGTTGTTGTTGAGGAAAGTCAGTTAAGAAAAATATTTCAATTTTGATTGCACATATAGTCAACGGGCCCAAAATACATCTTAATTTGGTGTCACAATAAACAGGATTTTTAAAAATCAAGGACTGGCAATTGAAGCCATGAGCACAATTTGAGTGGCTTTACGAAATGGTGCTACTGGAAGCTTCCTTAGCAGGAGAGTGCCACCTTGAGCCCACAGAGATAAAGTAGAGACAGGAAAAGTAGCCAGCAGGAAGAGTAAGGAGGCACCTCCCCTCCCTCCCCCCACTCCCACCCCACCTCCACCACGCACAGTGTTTCCAGGACGCACTCTCCTGTTGGCAAATAGTAGAAGCGGCTATGGAGTATAAACAGAAATGATTGCAGCATCTTCAAGAAGGCTTTTCCAAAAGGATGGCTTGACCTTTCCAAACTACGAAATTAACAGCAGAGTAGGGAGCTTTCTTTCATACTCTTCCCCTACTTTCATGGCAGGCTGATTAATGCACATAATTTGGGAGATGATTGAGATGGTATTAAAGAAAGAGAAACAAAATAGTAGGGATCTAGCACCCATTGAGCAATTAAGGCCCAAGCACACTTAAGAATAAGTTCAGGATGTCAACGGTTCCTCACCCAGTGGGGCCACACAGACTATTTCCAGAGCAGCGACAGCTTCCCCTGGGGCCCTGCACTCTGCAGTCAAGCCAGAGCAGCACTTTGTGTGCAATAAAAGCACTGTGCTCATTCAACCTGGAGAGACTGTGCCCACGTGTATATCAGGAAGGGCTCTCCCATAACCGACCCTGGCAGTCAGCCGTACCTGCAAAAATAACCATGCCAAAACACCAGCTGGTGTTTCTCAGGACACAGCCCCTCAGGATGATCTTCTCATTGTTGAGGGGGTACTTGCTGTCCTTCCAAGAGAGGACTCCCGTGAATTTATCTAATTTGTTGTTGGGCGCCTCACAGACAACAATCCCTGTAAAAAAAAAAAAAAAGACAAAAAACCAATAATCCTCTTTATGACTACCTCGAACTCTAGAAACACACAGTACCGTGTTTCCACCCTTCTTCTAATATACACCATATTTTTCCTTCAATTTTGGACAGCACAGTGTTACATATACAAGATTGTGCTAGGAAAAAATAAGCTGGAGGGGATACAAAGATGGAAATCCATCAAATGTTTTGAACACAGTTTTCTGCACTGTCCAATAAGAATAAAAACCTTGACAGCCTGGGATTTTTTTTTCCCTAAAAAGTCCTCTGGTCTCTACTTCTAGTTTGTAACAATGACTTTTGAAAAGATAAAGCAGGGACTATCCTAAAGGCTTTTCTTATTGCATCTCTTTTTACTTAATGGGAACTTTCACAGAGGTCAAGATGGCGTACTTCCAGTTTCACAACCAAAGTTAATGAGGCCTTTCTAGGCTCATAATCAGAATTTAGGAGGTCCTACTCCATTCCACCCCCAAGAAACCTGAGCCTGGTTTGCCACATGGGCCTGAGAATGCGTGTGATTCCTTTCAGCTGTTCCATGCTTCTTATCTTGATTAGATTCAGAGTTCTGGGGACTCTCAAAGGCACCATATAACTTGCCCCAACCTGGCCAGAAGATGTTTCTCGTTTTTTAAAATTCCAAGCCCATTCCAAACCAAAGGCATGTGCATTCCAAATCAATGAATCAATTCCTTCCATTATTTCAATAAGAAAATACATTTTCAGGGTGAGGATTCTCTTAGAAAAAGAAACCAGAAATAATCTTTACTAACCCTGTCACAAAATATAACTATTAGTTTCAAATACATTTGCATTGCAATGTATTTGAATTCGGGGTTAAATTTTTATGAGTGATGAGTACAGAGACTTGACAGACGGAGAGAGGAAGGAAAAGAGAGGGAAGAAATGAAAAAGGAGGCTGTGGGCAGATCTAAACAAGGTTCAAGCCAGAGCAGGGTGAGATCGGTACCTATGTAGTTCTCTCTCGAAAACAATAAAAATACTCTTATGTAATCAGAAGCCAAAATGGTAGTTTGGAACATAAAAAGTGGCATTTGAAAAATGAAAAAGGGAGGCATGTCTTCAGCATTGATTGAAGGGAAAGGAGACCAGACCAGCCTAGAGAACTTCCTTATTACACTGTGACACCACTCACGAAGCTCCTTCTGCACTTACAGCCATCTTCCATGGGCTCCCTTCCTTCCTAGGATGATATGTCTTCCTTTTAAAACTCCTAGATATAGGTGATAGCATCCGGTTTCCACAAGGCCTGATCACTCCCGACCAACCAGATTACTATCGTTAATACAACTTGCATGAAAAAAAAGAAACAAACAAAACTATGAAAAGAATGAGGGACTCTTGGCCTCAGGACTGCTTTTCCATCCTCCATCTACCTTGCCCCAGTATAACCGAAATGCTGCCTAAACATCCCCCACTCGGCCATTCACAGGCAGCTTCCCAGACATCCACTGCTAAACGAGAGAGTGCTGGCAGGGGGATTTGGATGAGGCTAAATAACCTGTGTAAACTCATTTTTTATATGAAGGAAAGCGGCTGATTTCTGCTTTGCTCCCCTTATAGCCTATCACTGATATTAAAAAGTAAGTTAAAACTGGTTTCAACGAGCCCAAGTTGTTCGGACAATTACATTGTAGAAGAGGAAACTTTCTAAATTCTAAGAATTCAGTATCTTTTTTTCTTGACCAATAATTTTCATTCCTGGATTTTGTAGAACGTTGAATTGGGTATCACCAGCAAAACCTATATAAAATGAGTTGATAGCAACTCTTAAAGTTTATTCCAGTTTCTTGACCCAAGACTCAATTTCATAGGCTTCAGACTTGGCCGCTAAAAAAATGTGCTTTGGACAAAAACAACAAGATACACAGTCCCTGCCAATAAGAATATAAAAAACAGGCTCATTTGATCATTTTTATTGTTGCAAGCAAAGACTGACATGGAGGCAAATACAGCCTTGAACATGTTGGCTTACTCCTCCCTGGCCCCAAGGCTCATCCACTCCTGGCCTGCCACCAAGGGTGCGGTTCTAGATAGAACCAGGCAGGAAGGCCAAGGGGTTCTGCCTTGGTTCTTGGAGGCCAAGCCCCAACTCAGCCTTTCTTAAAGAGTGCGATCAGTCAAAACAAAATGGTGGAACAAAGCAGAAAAACAAGTTTTCGTTTCATAAGTGCCCAGCTTTCCCTTCCTTAGCCCTGTTCGCATAAAACACAAGCTTCCTAATTTCTTTTCTGCCCCTTTCCAGAGGGGTGAACAGCTTTCTTTGAAGGGAGCACTGTATTCACTTCCGGATCCCCATAGCCTACCATACTGACTACATAATAGGATTTTAATAAATCTTTTTTAGGGACATGGATGGAAAAAATGTCAGATGGTTTCAAGACAGAGGTTGGCAGATGAAATGGTTATTAGAGTAGATCTAAGATGAATAAAAGACGTAGGCATATTTCCATGGTAATAATGATAAAGGGGATCGGAAGACCTAACAGCCCAACCACAATGGGGGGCTTAGCTTGGCCTAACTCTAAAGGGATACAAGTACATCTGAGAACACTGGAAAAAAAGATGGGAATCCTAAAGCACAGCAGAAGTGACCAAAAATATATCCCAGCCATAAAGCATAATGAGAACTAGGGAAAACCTTTAGGACCATTTTTCCTTTTGCTAATTGTATCAGAGAAGAGAAAGAGGCAGTAAACCGTTTAACAAACGGCTGAGAAAACACTTTAGGAAAAATAGCATCGCTTTTCACATAGTTATTCACTGAAAACATGTTTAGAGCACAAAGTCATTTTTAACGGGCAATAAAACAGCTGGGAAAAAGTCATGTCGATAGTGAAGTATAAATATAATCAAACCAGCTCATTACATTTGCTCGACCCTCTGAAGAGAACAGACGTGAACAGACAGCAATTCAACCAGTTCACAACTGCACAAAAATGCTCTAGGCCCACACTAAACAAAATGCACAGGATTTCATTCTGGATCTTCCTCCTCACTCTAAATTTAGTCAGCTGGATTGTTGCTTAATTACCAACCTTATAACCTTCTCGAACTAAAGTATTTACCTCAAAGTAGAAATCTGTAGTTTATCACAAAAATGGAACTCAGTACCCAGATTCCATGGTTTTCCAGAGAAGTTGACTATATTCCTTTATGTGTATTATTACTATCAATATTTCTTGATTATCTGCACTGCAACTCGTCGATAAGACAAATTATCTATTGACTAAGACAGCGTTATTGCTGTTCCAGTTTCTCCAGCCACGAACTTCTTAGAGTTTAGATTACCCACTACTGTTGCCCTGATGATTGCGATAAATATTTATTTCTTTCTTAGAAAGACCACTGTCAACTTCCAATTTCCTGAGCCTTTTTATTCTCCAGCCATCAAGCCTCAGTCGCCCATCATCACCACCATCATGGCCCCATCAACACCAGCAGTAAAGAGGGAGTTACTCTTCCTGTCCTTACATGGATTCTATGTCTCATGCAGTCACCTCAGCTATGCTGTTGGCCTGGGCTCTGTCCAGGTGACTGGGAAACCTATCTGGTAAATAAAAAAGTCACAAGATGCTAACTAAGCTGGGTTTTTTGAACCAAAAAGAGATGCTTGTTTTCCTGTATTTTAATTACACACATGCTGTTCTTTAGAAAGGACCACAAAATACACAAAGATTCCTGAAATAAAGAGTCAACCTTTCCCTGGTTCAGACCTCAGCATTAACAGTTATACAAAATATGTAAACTTGTCATAAGTTGCAAAAAACAGACCTCAGTCCAGTCAGTAAGAATATGCAAAAGATTCTTAAACACATTTGGACAATTTACATCCGGGGCTTTCCCCAAAGCGCAAAAATGTACAGTTTACAAACGTGTAATTGACAACTATTTCCAGTTACTTATTTGTAAAAGCTTTCAATTCCTATAAGACTTTAACATGAAATATCAACGCCCACTCTATTTTTATACTTGTTATAGTATTAGATCAAGTTATGTATCTTTTCTAATAAAATTCAACAGACTACACATCAATTTTTTCCGATGTTTGAAATGTATAAAAACATTTATAAGAGGAATTTTCAAATAAATGGATTTACCTACCAAAACTCAACTCTATCTTGCGTGTACTCATCTCTATGCCAGTTGTCCTATAAACTCTTGTCAGAGATCCTGACATTCAAGATCACTAACATTGCCACCTTTCAAAAATATGATGATGTCCTCTGACTCCTGGATGGACTTGATCTCTAGTAATTAATTTTTCACCTTTGGGTTTAGAGTATTCTTAAAATGTATTTCTTACCCTGATCAGGAGCTGTCGTGCTGATTCCCCTAGCTCTCTACTACTGCCTTTCTACTTGCAGTTTAGAGCCTTTCACATCCTTTCATAGTATCGGGTTCATATTCTGGCTCCTCCACTTAGTAACCATGTGACATTGGGAAAGTTATTTAATTTTTCTGGGTCTCAGATTCCTTGCCTGTAAATTGGAGGTAATAATAATCTCTTCTCCCCAGGACTATAAGGATTTAATAAGATAATGTGCACAATTACTTAGAATGGTACCTGGTACAGAATGAGGACGTGTTCATGTGTCAGCATCATGTTCAGAGCGTGAGAACTTTAGGACCTTTACTAACTAAAGCTTCTTTGAGGATGAGCACTTGTTCAAGTCTGTCTTCTCTCCTAGGCTATAAGCTCTATGAAAGCAAGGCCTGGGTCTGATTTATTAACCACTGTATCCCCAGGCTTAGCAAATCCCTTAGCATTGTGTTATTTAACAATTTATATTTATGTATTTACATATTCTACATTTGCTGAATGAATGAGTGAATGAACAGATTACTGAGTAAATGAATGAAAAAGAGCTCATGCCATGTCTCAGGAGGCCACCAACAAGACACTGTCCTTGGGTTTCCATGCAAAAGTGGGGAGGCAGGGAGACTTACCAGAGACATCCTGGGACCCTTTCCATCTCAGATTTGTCCCTTGGTGTTCCCAATTTGGAGTCCCCAGTGGGGACTTCTCTAGGGATAGGAGTGGAACACTCAGGTCTTCAGATACTTGGAAGATGTGCACTTATGATACAAGGACAGAAAATTGTAGTTTGGTGCTAGAGAAAGTATTTTGGCAAGTCTCAGAAGAAAAACCACACAGTAACTAAAAGCAAAAATAATGCCATACCCAGATATGCCCAGAAGTCACAAACCTACAGATATACTTAGCACAGACAAAGCATGGGAAAGGGTGTGCCTCCCATATCTGATTCATCTCTTAGACCTTGCCACGGAGACAGGGTATTTCCAAAGGTACACAATGCTGATATCACACTTTCAATTTAAACTAAAGGATGCAAAATCTGGTTTTAATTCCCATCACTCAAGGAAGTCTTTTCTGGTCACCAAAAGAAAACCTGAGATCTATTGATACCCCATTATGACAAAGGTGAACGGAGAAGACAACACAGAGGGAGTAGAAAAATAATGGGGGAGTGAAAGGACCAAAAGAACCTGGATAATACATGTGGAGATATTTTATATTGTATCTTGTTCTTAGGAGGTGCTTAACATATAGACTTAAACTAATTAACAAGGAGAGAGTGACAAAAACAGAAAAGATAAAGAATTTCAGAAAAAGATATGATGCGGGTAGAGAAAATAGACTAATATAAAGGGTGGGAGAGGAAGATGGAAAAAGAATAGTAAGAAAGAACACAAAAAGGGAGGAAAGGAAAGAGGAATGGTGAAATGGGGTAGTTATAGAAATGTGTGTATGTGTGTAGTGTGTTGTGTGTTAGAGAGGCAGAGAGAGATGGAGATTAAAGTGTGTAAACTAGGCTTGGAAAGAAAGGAATGGAAGAAAAGTTGAAGGGTATAGGTGAGCAAGAGAAATCGAGGGAAGGATTAAGGGTTTGTTAACTGTCCCAACTCTTTCACAGACTTTTCCATACCACATCTTGCACCATTCTCTTGGTCTTTAAATTTGGCTGCTAACAGGGGAAATCTAATCTGTATATTGTGTCTAATTTGTTTCCCCTTATGCCTCTATTTATTCTTCAAATGCTTTCTTGGAAATAGGAAATCTCATTTTAATAAAGCTAAACCCGCAAAATACCCCATTGCCTTGAACTTTAAGACAGATTGAGATTCAACCCAAGATTTAACAAGCGAAAGAGTAAATTTAGCAGAAAACTGGTTCTCAGCGCAGATGTGTACCAGCCTCATGAATCTGGCATTACACGTTCTCTGAAAAGTGAGCAGAGTTTAAGTATGAATACTAGAAAAGAGAGGTCTGTGTTGTCTTTGTTTGGGAAAACAATTACACATTAGAGATTTGGTGAGCTACCTATGCTGTGTGAAGTAAATTCAAGCCGCATCTAGCAAGTAATACTTATTAATGCACTTTAAAATACACCTTGTGAAGTGTTAAGAAAGGTTATTCCTATTAAGCAAGACCTTCAGCCTCTCAGGAGCTGTGCCATCCCACCTGTAACAAAGGAGTTGTTTCAGATGAGGAAGGTTTTCTTGCTTCAGCCTGAGTAGCACCACTTGTATTGGTTTAAATTGGGGGCTTCTTTGTTAAATTTTGTTTGAATAAAGGATTCTGAAGTAAAGACCATTTAAAAGCGCCACACGGAGGACTCCTCTCCCAGCCACCTGCCCTCCAGCCCTCTCGCTTAGTCCTACAAGTTCCTGTCAGGAAGCTTCCTCCTCACCCATCATTTGCATCCTTTCACACTCCATTCTCAACCCCTTTACCTTAGGCCCTTCCTTTGCTCTCCCCTGTCTTTCTGGGGCCTGATGGTGCTCTCCAGCAGTTGCAGCCCCTTATTCATTCATTCATCAAGTATTTATTGATCATCCAGTATGTGCTAGGCATTGTTCGAGGAGCTTAGCATATATCAGTTAACAAAACAAAGATCCCTGTGCAGCTTGCATTGCAGCAGGTAGAGATGAACAATAAATAATAAACTTAGAAGTTAAGTGAGTGATAGAGTATGCCAGATGGTGGTAGGTGCTATGAGAAAGAGACAAAGTTGAGCGGGATGGCAGGGATTGAGAGTGTGAGGAGCCATGCTGACAAGGGGGATTCTCCGCCCCATTCCTGCAGTTCCACATAAGAAATCCACCTTATCCAGCCTGGCCCTTAGACACCATCCTATCATTGACTGACAGTCGAGTTCTTGGAGGGTGTGGTAGAGACACCACTCAACAAATATCCTTACTTGTTATTTCTCAACTTCCCTTGCAGTTAGGTTGGGCCCATGTGACTCATGCTCCCCAATGAATTGTGAGAGGAAGAAGTAGTTAAAAGTTACTATGTCTCTTTCATCTCATCCTTACTTTGATATGCTGACCTTAGAGGCCATTCGTCCAGGGACCAAGGCTACAAGATGAAGGAGGCCAACTGACCTGCATCAGAATGTGACATAATTGGTGAAGCCACCAAGGAAAGGAGTATGGAGATCCCTCAAAAAATTAAAAATAGAGCTACCATATGATCCAGCTATCCCACTTCTGAGTATTTATCTAAAGAACAAACCAACACTAATTCAAAAAGACATACGCACCCCTACCTATGTTCACTGCAGCATTATTTACAACAGCCAATACTTGGAAACAACGTAAGTGCCCATCAACAGATGAATGGATAAATAAGATGTGTGTGTGTATACATATATACACAATGGAATACTATTCAGCTATTTAAAAAGATGCAATCTTGCCATGTGCAACAACATGGATGGACCTTGAAGGTATTATGCCATGCGAAATAAATCAGATGGAGAAAGATATATATCATATGATTTCACTCATATGTGGAAGATAAAAACAACAACAAACAAACACATAGATATAGAGAACAGACTGGTGGTCACCAGAGGGGAAGCAGGGTAGGGGGAGGGTGAAAGGGGTAAAGGAGCCCATGTGTACGATGACAGATGGCAACTAGACAGACTTTTGGTGGCGAACACAATGTAATCTATACACAGGTCAAACTATAATGAGGTATACCTGAAATTTATATAATGTTATAAACAAATGTTACCTCAATAATAAAAAAGAGAACGTGACTTTAGCAAGAAATAGACCTTTACTGTTTATGTCACTAAGATTTCAGGGTTGTCTGTAACTGTGTCAAAGTGTAGACTACCTGGTCCAACGTCTATGAAACTAGACGAACTAGATACAGATAACAATCATTTTCAACATCTATGAAACTAGGCGAACTAGATACAGATAACAATCATTTTCTGTTTTTTGATGGTACAGAATACTAAAAATCACAGATTTCTATCTCCTCATAGATTGATAGAGGTATAAAGGTACAATTCTGCCAGGAAATAAACGAGTAACGGTAAATTATATTTAAGTTGCCTACTTCTAGGGCTCCATAAATATTCTATGAGGTATTGCAAGCAAGTATTTTGATTCATGAACACAATTTACTTTTCTTAGATTCACATAACAGCAAAATCTCATTGACAAAATTACTTAGTAGAAAATGTGTAATTTGTTTTAATCTAATCAAAATATTTCTTGGGCCACTCAAAGTTTCTTGGCTATTCCACTGACTTAAATCACAACTGGAGGAATATTTTTTCTATAAACTGCACTCATTTAAGAGAGATTAAAACATTAACAGAATCCAGATGAAGTTTACACAGAAATGCAAAGCACAAGTAATATAAGTTCTAAGCTGTGCCCTGGAGAAACTCTATAATGTAAATTTGCCTGTGCTTTAACTTAAGGGATCATGCTAAGACCCTTGTCCACATTTTCCTCTCCAAAAACAACATTTTGGAAGATAGTCTCAAACTCATAAAGATTCATTAATAAATAAAGCCAATCTGTATGCAAATATTGACACAAAGCCAGACATTCAAGTGCACAAAGCAAGAGACCATTGAGGGGTAGCAGGAAACCCCAAAGATTCTCCCACAGCCTGTCATGGTGCCTACAATCCTACTATTAATGGCTCTTTCCTTTGATCTTTGATAGATTTTGTTTCTCCGGGGCAGCTTTAACAGAAAGGAACAAGACACAACTGGAAAGAACAGGCAAGGGAAACCACACTGAGGAGCAAGGGGCCGCAGTGAAGGGTGTGAAGATGGTGATAACAAAACCATGGTCTAAAAATAAAGAGGAACAGCTGACCAAGTGATTAATAAATCAGAATATTCTTCCTGAACTTCTACTCTCTTTAAGATATTATGCCAGGCACTATGCCAAGTTGCAGAAATACATGAGGCAGGATTACTAGCTTTGTGAATTTTGTAGTCTAGTGTTTGGCCTTTGTTACGGAGCCAGGGAACAAATTGATGGTTAGACCTAGAGCTAGAGATAAAATTGTGGCCCATACTCATCCTCAGCAGGTATGCACAGGGCTCCAGGGAGGCGCAAGTTCAGACATAAAGGGAATGGCAAGTAAAGGACTAGAGGGAACAAGATCTAGAGAAGAGAGAACAAGGATGAAGTGAACGATGAACTGACAAAACCATTCTCCCCTTGGTAAACATTTTTACTCTTTAGCATGAGAAGAGATTACAGAATTTGATGCCTGGAGAATTCTATTTCCTTCCACCAAATAAAAAGAAACATAAATTGCATTTTAGATAATTAGTTTGCTACATCGTTTTTGGTTATGAGATTTTTGTTTGTCTGCTTTAAACACTTACCATCAAACTTTGCAAGTCTGCTAATATCTGCTCCAAGTTCTGAGGTAACTGCTAGTGCATGGCGAACTTTAAGGTTTGTTTCCCTGTGAAATTAATCGACACGACATAAATTTTTATATAGAACAGCCCAACAGCGTCTTACAGAAGGCAATCAGGCAGGTGCCATACATGCAAAGTTCAACACAAGAGATGCAAGAAACTCCCTTTGAATGTCATTCACACCTCTCACGCTGTCTCAGGAAAGTGGATAGGGCTTTGCAGGCTGCTGAGAGTTGGCATTGCACCCACAGCACATCTGTATAACAACACAGTAATCCCTGTTGCTATTTGAAAGAACAGAGGACACAATAAATATGGTTTCATTTGAACCTACTCAGATATCATGCATGAGTTACAAAACACATTAGGAAAGGGAATACAGTTGCCAAATAAAGGAGTCCAGTATCACTCCAGAGTCTATTATCTAAGTAAGAGTTTTACTTGCAAAAGATGGTCATGGCTAATTTCACAGTAGCTGAATTTAAATGGAAAAGGAATACAGCTTTCCCTTTCTTGGAGAATCAAGTGAAGAATCCCATAAGTCTAGAATCATACAACCAGACAGGAACTCAGTGGGTCATAGTGAGCTGGTCATCTTCCTCTAGGCAGGATCACACATACACTGGACAGTTGGCTGTCTGGTATTCATGAAATGACCGGCAGTGAAGATCTATGACCATTACTCATGTCTTGTGTATAAAAGCTTGCCGTGTCAGTTTTCTCACTGAGTTCAACCTAATTCTCATCTACTGTAGCTTAACATCATCTGTCAGAGTTCTGTCTTTTATGGAAATGTTTAGTGATGCATTCATTCAGTCAACAAATATTGACTGAATACATACCATAGTCACTCATGATACTCAATGCTGCCCCTCAAGGATTATTGTCCTCTTGAGGGAAACTTGCTAAAAAAGCAAGTATCACCATTTGGAAGTACATGCCAAGCCATGAAATAGTTGAATTTAGAGAACCAAGAAGCAGGTACTTGAGAGGGCACTTAATCTAAAATTCCCATAAATGAGTTTTACCTGATTAATACCTTCAACGTCCTATCATACTCTTCTTTATCTGCCTCAGTATCTTGATAAAATTCAAAATTATTTTCAGCATAAGAAATAATACAGAAAGATCCTCTGTACCCTTTACCTGATTTCCCCTAATGGTAACATCTTGCAAAACCATATCACAGTATCACAACCAGGATACTGACATTGACACAGTCAAGATACAGAACATTCCATCACCACACGGATTCCTCGGGTTGCCCTTTGTAGCCACACCCACTTCCCTGCCTCCTCCAACCCATCCTTAACTCCTGGCAACCATTAATCTGTTGTCCATTTCTATTATTTTGCCATTTTAAGAATGTTATAGAAGTGGAATCATACAGAATGTGACCTTTTGGGATTGGCTTTCTTTGCTCAACATAATTCTCTGAAGATTCATCCAGGTTGTTGCATATATCAATAGTTCATTCCTTTTTATTGTTCAGTAATATTCCATGATATGGATGTACCACAATTTGTTCAACCATTCACCTGCTGAAGGACATATAAGTTGTTTCTAGTTTGGGGATGTTTCAAATAAAGCTGCCATAAACATTTGCGTACACGTTTTTGTGTTAACATAAGTCTTCATTTCTCTGGGATAAATGCCTAGGAGTGAAATTGCTGGCTTGTATGGTAATCACATGTTTAGGATTTTAAGAAACTGCCAAACTGTTTTCTAGAGTGATTGTAGCATTTTACATTCCCATCAGCAATGTGTGAGTGATCCTGTTTCTCTACATCCTTGTCAGCATTTGGAATTGTCACTATTTTTCATTTTAGCCACTCCAATAGGTGTGTAGTGATATTTCATTGTGGTTTCAATCTTAATTTCCCTAATGGCTAATAATGTTGAACATCTTTTCATGTGCTTACTTGCCATCCATATGTCATCTTTGGTGAAATGTCCCTTCTTGCCATTTGCCAATTTTCTAAGTAGATTGTTCGGTTTTTTACTGTTGAGTTTTGAGCATTTTTCATTTATTCAAGATACAAGTCCTATGTCAGATAGACGGTCTGAAAATGTATTCTCTTAATCTGTAGCTTATTTTGTCATCCTCTTAGCAGGGCCTTTTGCACAGCAAAAATTTTTAATTTGATGAAGTCCAGTTTTTCAAATTTTCCTTTTAAAGATCATGCTTTTTGTGTCAAGTCTAAGAACTCTTAGACTAGCCCTGGGTCTCAAAGATTTTCTCCTATGCTTTTTCTCTAAAGTTTTATGGTTTTAGGTTTTACATTTGAATTCAATTTTCTTAATAGTTATAGGGCTATTCAAATTCTCCATTTCATATTGAGTGAGCTGTGATTGTTTTTGGACAAAGTGGTCCGTTTCATCTAAGTTGTTAAATTTATGTATATAGAGCTGTTTGTAGTACTTCCTTACTCTTGTGATGTCTTCAGGATCTGTTGCAATATCTCCTGGTTCATTCATGACATTGTTAATTTGCATCATCTCTCTTTTTTCCTTTTTCAGCCTTCCTAAAAGTTTGTCGATTTTAATGATGTTTACAAAGAGTCAGCTGTTTGTTTCATTGATTTTCTCCCTTGTTTCTCTGTTTTCAAGTTCACTGATTTCTGCTCTTGTCTTTATTTCTTTCCTTCAGCTTGCTTTGCATCTAATTTACTATTTTCTAGGTTCTTGAATGAGAGATTAGATTATTGATTTGAGACTTTTTTCTTTTCAAGTGTATGTATTTCGTGCTGTAAGTTTCCCTATCAGCACTATTTTAGCTTCTGCCCAAACCAGGGGTAGGATCACACAGGCCAAACTCTATTTCAATAGCCCAATACGACAAGGATTTGGGAAGAAGCGGTTAAAACCATAGGCTCTTTTGTCAGACTGCCAGGTTTGAGCCCTGGGCTCACTCTTTAGAAGTATGGGACAAATTAGTTAATCTCTCTAAGCCTTGGTTTTCTCATCTGTACAATGGGGCTTATATAGTACTTATGCCAGGATTAAATGATAAAATCCATCTAAAGAATATATACAGTATCTTTAAAACGTAAGCATTCAATAAATGTTTTTATGCCAGACAGGCAAATTGAATCCCCTGAAACAGAACTGCTATTTGGTCTATACCTAAATTCTCAATTAACATCAATGTCAAAACTCCATTTCTCTCTTCTCTTTCTACAACTTCATTTCACCCAGTTCCAAAAGATTGCCTTCTAAGTAACAACAGTGCTTCTTTCCTCAGGGACTCTTGATCAATACTTCTCTCATTTTCCTTAAAGAATCGCTTAAATTTTTTTAAAAAGGCCTTTCTAAGGAATCTCAGTGAAGAGTCTTGTGTAAAATGTATTCACATATACATGTTTAGCTCATATCTGAAAGAAAATAAATTCACAAAAAAAGACAGAGTTTTCAAAAGATCTGCAAAGCATTTAACGAATAGACTCTGCAAATTAGACTCCTATTTCTTCCAAGAAAATAAAATGAAGAATAAGGTTTAAGTCCTGTTTCTAAAGATATTGCTCTTAATTAAATTAAAAACCAGTCTACTGAATTATTCTGACTTTAATAACTTACCCATCAAGCTCAGCAGTTTCAATGTAACAGAGACCATGTGGCTCACTACTTGATAGGAGAAGCAGGTCAGCCTATTTAAAAAAATTGTGATAAAGAATAATTGAGAAGGGAAGACCAGTGGAAAACCTATGCTGTATCACTCTTCCACTACTAATAAGCCAGGAGAGCCTTAGAAAACAGTGAGGGGGGTGAAATCCTGGTGCCCCCTCTGCCACACGCCCTGAATCAAACCCCTCCTCCACTTCCTGGTTCCTGTTTTGCAGGCCCCTGGCCTTCAGAACATAAGCAAGGGCAGGGGATAGCATCCAAATTAATAGCCACTTTATGTACTTTTTTGGCGAAAAATACATAAAATTTTATTTTCTTGCTTTGATAATTACTCATGGAAAATATAAACTTTCCCCAATAAGTAAGACAACTGGAAATATTTATATGCACATCCTTTGATTCCCTAGTATGATCAGTTCAGAGCAGGGGGCAGGCAAAAGAAATGAGGAAAGACCAAAGTGAAGTAAGAGAAGGAAATGGAAAACCATATAAAAAAATCAGAGAGGCAAGGAAATTTGAAAGAGAGAGAAAGATTAAAAGAAAAACAAAATAAAAAAGATAATCTAGAAAAAAGATGGTGGGGTGTAAGGAAGGGGGAAGAGAAATAAAGAGGAGTGCCAAGCAAGAGGATGACATGGAAGAGAACACAGGGTAAAAGACAGTGGGGAACACTGAGAAAGCCAGGAGGTGGCCCTTCACAGAGATAAGTCATCCTATGTGGCTGTCATTTGAGCTTTGGAAACGCCCTATCACAACTCAGTTTTAGAAGGCTGGTAGCTTTCTATATTGGGAAACTGTTTATTTTATTTCAAATTTCAAAATTTATTTTCAAGTAGAGGGTTTTATGAAATTCTGAAGGATTTGAATGTCTAAAAAGAATTGACTAAAATTTTAGCAATTAATTTCGACACAGCAACCTAACAATTTTGTAGCTCTGTCTGAATGTATGATTGGCATTCCAAATCTGTGAAACTATCTTACTTTTGTTTTTTAAAATTTTAGAGTCTCCTCATTCTCAAGTCCTGGAGGTCAAATTTAGAATCAATCCACTCGTTTCATTGTCTCAAGCTTTAAATTTCCACCTCAAAAATAGGCGCTCTGTGTGTGTGTCTGTGTGTGTGTGTAGTTTTGTCTAAACTGTGATAAAACATAGCTGAAAAAAACCCCAGTGACAAGCCCCAAAAGGAATAAATGGGTTTGCATCATCAATGCCCTTCCGCATCTCTGGATGAAAGAGTCACAGAAGGCTGTCATGGCAGAAATTTTTTTCTGACTTGCCACAAGGGAACCAGAGCACACCCACTATAGAGAGAACGGGTGAAGAGTGTATGCCACTCTTGTGCCAAAAGTTACCCATCTTGATTTTAAAAGGAAAAAAAATGTTCTTGAAAATTCCCCTTGGTCTTATTTGTCACATTTAGGTTTCAATGAATATGATAGCAACAGAGCTTCACGCTCTTTGGGTCTATACCGCTCCTCCCCTGAGCTTAAAAGGATCATTTTAAACAAAACCCAGAATTCTGTCATTCCTATCATCTGCAATTGAAAGCAGTTATGCAGTATAGAGAAAGACACCTATTTGTACCCCGGGTTGCTTTTCTTCTAAACTCTGCACAGTAAGAAGGATCCAACATTACCGTTTAATACTGAGCCCAGCTGCCTTAACACTTATATTTTGGGTAGACGAGAGGAGGATTCATTGTGCACAGGTGGCTCAGAACATGTGACGGAGGCACCACCACCGGGTGGCTGGATTCTATTCTGAGCAGTGGCTCAACGTCCTAGAGGCAGAAATGGAACTGTAAAGCCCACAGGTTCCTGGCTAACTCCTCCTGCTTGCTCTACCCCTGGGAACCTGGGACTTCTACATTCCTACCTTCTACCTCCCCTGCCTCTTCCTGTCCCCTCCATTGTCACCTTTCTCTTTGATGTCCTCTGAACCCTCCTCCTCTTTCCCACTCCCTGATCTCAGTCCTGCCGCCGCGTCACTCATCCTCTGTTCTCCCTGCCCCACTGCGGAGCCTTGGGGTACCCCCTTTGCTAACTTCTCCCTTTGAGGTTTTCAATTCATGATAGCCAAGGAGGAAGCATGAAGGGGCAGGACCAGCAGAAGCATCTGGCAGAATAAGTGGTCAGCCCACTCATCATCAGGCAGTCCTGCCATTCCAAGTGCACTCAGTAATCATTCTGAAAAGGAAGGGCAAGAGAGCTGCAGTAATGGCCCTGTGAGTCCCTGGTCACCATTTGGTTCAGAACCGGGAATGGAGCAACGTATAGGTGGTCTTAAGGGCCCAGTAGCCCCATGATTCTGTGAGTCTCAGATCAGACCTCCTCAAGCTGATCCTTTCAGTATCTCTCAGGGGACCCAATTCCTAGTCAATCCAGAAACTTGTGTTTGAGTTGTAGGTGTTTATAAGACCAATAGCCCATATTTAGTGAGGGCTTACTATGTGTCTGCACGCTCTGAAGAGCTTCACATGCAATATTTTATGTAACTCTCACAGAAACCCTCAGTGTAGGTCCTGCTGTTATCTCCACTTGACAGATGAGCAAAGTGAGGCCCAGAGAGGTTCAGTAATTTGTTGAGGCCACATAGTAAGTGGGGCACGAGGATATGAATCCAAGCAATCTAAAGCATACACAGCTGGGAGTACTAAAGCAAGTAAAAACCTCTTTCCTTCAACGATTTTACAGTTTAGTAAAAGCAGAATATGATAAGCGTTCTAAGGGTCTACTTAACTAAGTGCCAGGGGAGGAGTGCAAATGAGAAAGAGAGCACACCAGGTTGGTAATTGAGGAAGGGCCTCATGGAAGATTCTGGATGGAATGGAAAGCAGGTTCCCCCAGGCAGAGTCACTAGCAGGACTAAAGAACGGGGAAGGGAAAGCATATTATTGGAACTCACAAGCAAACAGTAGGTAATCCAAACCAGAACCAGCCTCAGACTCTCATTTGTACTTTCTTCTCTCAATTATCGGTGCCTTCCCCGCGCCCTGCCAGGGGAGGCTCAATCATGTCTCCTAAGAATGAAGTACTGTTTTCCAACAAAACGCCCCTTCCCCCACCCTCCACAGGCAACAAAAAGCCCAAGTAGCTGCCTCATGAAAACCTGAAATAAATATTCCAGTCAGAAGAAACTCGAAAAGAATCCACTGAACATCTTTGTGTCCTCAGAGCCAATGACATTGTCCTCATAGGTTTATCAGGTATAATCAGCCTTTGTTGAATTAAAGAATAAATGAAGCAAAACCTCAAGTGATGATCACACCTAAAAGCTATAGAATTATTTAAGGGTTTACAAAATGCTCTAACATAATTGTGTCTCCTTATTCTCTCAACAACCCTATGAGGGGGTAATTTCGTTCCCATTATATGGATAAGAAACCTGGGAAGGTCGTCTCTGGTCCCACAAGCACTAGATGAGCTAAATTAACTCAAGTAAAGCCCATAGCCTTTACAAAGTCTCGATGAGAACTCTATCACACCTAACTGAGGAACCCAAGGCTCCAAGAGATTGAACGGCGTACTCATGGCCACACAGAGCTTAAATGGCAGCGCTGGAACTAGAATTCAGAACTCCCCTCCCAAAATGTATACTCTTCCCTCTGGTTGGCTACAAAATCACTGGAATACAACTGTGAAAAATGGAAAGCATTTTGCTTTATTTTATTTTGCCTTATTGGTGTCCAAAAACCAAAACTACAATGGTAAAAAAATATTGGGACAGCAGCTCCCTAACCTGATGGAAAGATAAATTTGCAGAATTAACTGGAACATTGTATTCAGATCTCCTTTTATTTTTTTTAAGCCATTCTCACACACAGAGTTCTTCTTTATCTTCTTTATAATCTACGATAATGTCTTTTCTTTTTTTTTGTAGTCCCAAAATAAAAATCCAAAATGGCTTATGCAGTATGAGTATACTTAAGGGAAAATATGTTGATAAGGACAAAAGTCAGAATGAAGTCATAAAAATGAAAATGTATAAGATTACAGGTAATATTTTTATTTAAAATTTAAATTTCAGATCCAGTAAATGCATGTTGAACATTAACATGAACTAGATATATTATTGTTTTTGTTTTTTATAATTAAAGTGAGTTGAGAAGAATAAGAAAAAGATGATGAGAAAGAAGAGAAGGAGAGGAGGAGAATAATAATGGACATCACGGCATTTACTTATGGATAGGCCCTTTCTTTGGTTGAAAAAGAATCCTTGCCCATATATTTCACCCCCACAAATTAGTAATTGCTTATAACCAGAACATGACTATTTGCTTTTTTTTAACATAGAAAATAGTGCATTGCACCTTTGCTATTTAGCAAGAAGCTTCTTCTTCAATACAGCTCAGACAAATCTTTAAAATTTAAAAGAATCTTTAAATGTAAATTTTAAAGTTTAAAAAAATCTTTCTCTGGAAGTTCCGAACTTTCTACTGTCTCACATATTTAAAAAATGGGCAGAGGAGAGTTTATTTGCAGAAATTAGAGTGAAACACGTAACTATGATTTGAAGCTATAAAACTTAAAACAACAAAGAGGGCAATTAGACCACAAAATGGCCTCTCTTGAAGGATGTCCAAGAAGGGTGCTGAAAAGGACAAGATGATAAGCACTCATGATGGGTCAAGAGAGAGGCAAGCCCACCCTTGGTCAGGACTGGAGTTTAGGTCAAATTAAGCTTTCTTGCCCTTTCTTTTCTAAAGGTGAAAGTTTCAATTCTTGGAACAGAAGAATTCCTTTGTTTTAAAACAAAAATTTTACTATTGTAAACACCTAAAACTTGAACGCCCTTTTGTGGAGGCGATCAGAGGATGCATTTTTAGATAAGCTAAACAATTAAATTCATGTAGTGTTCAAATATGCTCATGTCCAATAAGGGGTTTATTTCTACCACCAGATAAAAAAAGCAAAACAAAACAAGAGCATGCTGTCAAGGAGCGGGGTAAGGTCTGCCTGGCTCCCAGGGTCCGAGTTCTGGCGAAAGCAAGACCTCTACAGTACGTTTTTCTCACACAGTTTACTTGATTCTTCTAAGGCAAGTCAATTTCATTGTGATAATTGAGTTATACTCTGTACTTTTATTCCTGGGCCTAAAATAAACTAGGAGCTCTGGAAATTCAGCTCAAATTTGTTTTAGAATTAAAAGAGAATTTAAGGGCAGTAGGGGTTCCTTATCTGGAAAACAAAGGTAACTTCTAAACATGCAAGCTAATTAGCCATTCCAGGCAAGCTCCCTTCCTTGCTTACAATGCACTGATAAGGTGACATAAATCAAGTTAAATGTTTTAATTTTGGACAGCTAAAGGTCATGCATTGGCATTGGGTGCAACATTCTGTGATCACTGCAATTCCAGCATCCAAGTCTGGAGGCCCTAATGTGGAAGCCCAGGCTCAAGGCAATTAGGGCGACTGTTCTAATAGAGTCAGGAGTAGCATATGGTAATGGTTAGTGGTTAGGAATAAGATCAAAACCCACAGGGCCTGGGTTTAACACTTGGCTCTTCTGTTGACAAGCTATTCGATGGCATTGTGCCACTGCTTTCTTATCTGTAAAATAGGAACAATAATAATAGTACATAACCTGCCCTCATTGGGCTAATGTGCACATTAAATGAGTTGTCATATAAAGAGTCTGTAATATTGTCCAGTGCATGGCCTGAGCTGTATCAATAAATGCTAGCTGTTATCATCACGATCTTTGTGACGTGGTGTCCCAAGATTTATCTCGATGCAATAGCTGCGAAGTGAGTCTCTTCAGAGACCTGTGAATGTTGCTCCCCAGATACAAGCCCTCTCACAGCCTCTGCCAGCGGATGCCGGGGAGCGGGGAGGCACATCAGTACTGCCAGCAATTACAGCAGTTCCCCCATAAAAGCACTTGTTTGTCCTTGCAAATAGTTTTGTAGGCGCTGAGTTGCTAGACATGGAAAAACTTCAAACAAAGTGACCTGATCAAGAGGCACGGCAGAGTTTTGGCATCTGGAGAACTCCCTTCCTCACTCATCCGGAGATTAAACCCACAGAGCTATCATTGTAGGAGTCAGACATCAATGGAGATAAAAACATCATCTTTGTTATTGATAAAGCTGTTGGAGATCAGGCTTTAGGTCTGTGGGCTGAATGGGCTTGCTAATACTTCATTCCCATTAGACTCATCTAGTCATAGACACTGGATGCTCTAAACTACCTGGACCTGCCCCCAGCCCCCACCACGGGGAGTGGCTCCTGTCAAACGGGCAGTGAGAAGGAACAGGGCAGAACGCACTGTCTGCACACACGCAGAGCCCAAAGAGAAAGGGAAGGAAGGAGGTGCTGGGTCATGCACACAACTCCCTGTCTCCAAACTTGGCAATCAGAGAAGTCACTTCTGAGAGAGGGGAATGAGCAAAGCAGGGCAAGATGCTGAGAGTGTTATTTTGGGGCTGTCCCTCCAAGTGAGAATGCAAAGGACAGGATGTAGGGAAGAGTGGAGAATGAGCATTCCCACCCCATCACGTAGCCACAATAAAAAGGCCACATCTGTACTGTCCAATAAGGTAGCCTCAGGTCACACATAGCTATTTAAATCTAAATTAACTAAAATTAAATAAAATTTAAAATTCAGCTTCCTCAGTTGCCTTAGCCACATTTCAAGTGCTCAGTGTCCACAGGGGGCTACTGGCTATCACACTGGACAGCACAACTATAGAAGATTTCCTTCACTGCAGAAAGCTCCATTGGACAGTGCTGGGACGTGTGGATCACTGACTTCATGGGAACTTGTCTAAATGCATGATTCACTTCCAACAATGCTACCAGTGCACCCATGACACTGGTCTCTTTTCACCTGATGCTTGCACTTACACTTGCCTTTCATGCCTTATTCCGCAGAAGGTTTTGCAATAGCAAGCTAGCATGTATACTATAACATGGCAAATATAACTAAATTAAAAATGAAGACCAAGGGAAGTACAGATTAGAACATCAAGGCTAGTGGGCAAGTTGGAGCATAAATATGCTGGTCTTGAGGTACAATGAGGTTAGGAGATTTGAGACATAAATTTGACTCTTGCCTTTCTGGGACTCACCCCAAAGAATGTGATAAATGAACATACTATAATATAGTGTTAGTAAACAAGTGAGTTCAAGCTAATAGTTACCCTTGTTAGAGCATATCCAGGGGACTCTCAAAATGCACTGTCTTTACTAACTACCTGAAGTTGAAAAGTACCTGGCATTGCCCCTGAAATACTCAATTCCAAATAGAATAATAGTTAAATGTACAGCATACTTTAATTTTTGCTAATTCCACTACAATCTAGCACCACACCTGGCATAAAGTAGTTGCCAAAAAAACTTTTGAATGTACACATCTTAGAATTCCACATATATACCAGTTTTAAAAAAAAGCTAAGGTTATCCACTTAGAAGCACCAAATCTCTTTCACTGTAATCATTTTCATTGAAAGTAGAACTACAATGAGTTCCATGGAGTTCTTTCTTCTTAAGCAAAGAATCCTGGATATATGTGATCTTTTCTTAATTAGGGCATATAGATGTTTATTAGTATCCCATTGATCCAGAACAGCTGAATTTTGGAAATTTATATCCACTTTCCTTTTTTTTTCTGTCTTCTTTCTCACAAAAGAATGACATTTATTCATCCAGCCAACATTTACTGTATGGCCCCTACGATCCAACATGGCGCTATGTGTTAAAGACGAGGTAAACTGATATGCTCTTTGCCTTCAAGAATCTTGTAGTCTAGTCTCAGTTCAGACAGAGAATCGCAGCATGTAAGGGCTGGAAGGGATCTTTGAGATCGCATAGTGGTCTAGCACCCTGATTTGACACATGAAGAAACCAAAGGAAGAGAAGCTAATATGCTGTCACTGAGGGAAGAGATTGAAGACTCAGTCTCCCCCAATTCCCCATCCAGTGTCCTCACTCTCTCTGCCTCCATCTTCCCTACAGAGTATGTTCTTCTAACAGATGCCACCCCCTAGTGCTCCTAATCTTTAATGAGCTGGAAAAGAAGCTGGACAAGCTAATTTAAATTGTGTCTAATATAAAATAAACAGATTGTGGGGCCGGCCCCGTAGCATAGTGGTTAAGTTTGCACACTCCATTTCGGCAGCCCAGGGTTCATGGGTTCAGATCCCAGGCATGGACCTACACACCACTCATCAAGACATGCTGTGGCGGCATCCCACGTACAAAATAGAGGCAGATTGGCACAGATGTTAGCTCAGCAACAGTCTTCCTCAAGCAAAAAGAGGGAGATTGGCAACAGATGTTAGCTCAGGGCCAATCTTCCTCACCAAAAATAAATTAGATAGATAGATAGATAGATATATAGATAGATTGTAAGAACCTGGCCAACTTTCTTACATATAAGGAGCCCAGGTCACAGAGTGCAGACTTTGAGACCACTGTTTTGGTTTCTGTGACAATTTTATTTTTGGTTCTCAGCTATTTTCCAAAGAATTGAGGTTGTCAGAGAAATAAACACTTCTCTATTTAAAGTGTGAACTCTTTGTGAATGGCCTGTCCTCTGAGTAGTCCCCTTAGCATAGGTTCTTCAAGAGAGAGCATCAGTATACACACACTGCGCGTTAATGAAAGAAGACTGTTTCTGAAAGCGAATATTTAGGAGTCTCAACTGAGTTGGAGTTTTTTTGGGGGGAGTGGGGAGGAGATTAGCGCTGAGTTAACATCTGTGCCCATCTTCCTGTACTTTATATGTGGGACGCCTGCCACATCAAGGCTTGTTGAGTGGCATGTAGGTCCACACCTGGGATCCAGACCAGTGAACCCCAGGCCACCAAAGTAGAGCAGGCAAACTTAACCGCTACGCCACTGGGCCAGCCCCTGAGTTGTTTTTTTTAAATAAATCTTGGAGCCACATTTTTTTCCTGTGGGAAAATGTCTCATTTAATGAAGAACACAACTCAATATATAAAAATTGCACTCACAAATTTTCATAAGTAATCTAATATATAGCTTTTATTGCCCTTCATTTAATATGAACTATAGTTAATCACATATAATTTAGTTATTGAACTGACCCCTTGTATTTTATTAAGAAAATTGTAACATAGTCAGTTTGAGAATATAAACTATAGTGCATTAGATACACTAAGAAAAACTTCATAAATGGCATTTTATTAATTCGGAACAATCCATAGACGTTTTCTGATCACTATTATTTGGAAAAAAAGCATACATTTTCTCTTCCTATAGTTTATCTTTTCTTCAAATAGACTAATCCTATTCTTGAAGAATAGTATTCAAAATAGGTGAGAACAAACTTTTTTTAAAGTACTCGGAAGCATTTTAAAAGCTCTTAATTATATGAAACGATTTACAGCCTGATTTAAAATCTTTTGTATGTACTAATTTAAAAGATCATGAAGCAGATGGACACGTGATAATCAGTCATCCTTGTCTGAGTTACTATGTGATTGAAAGTAATTAATCAATACGTCTTCTAAAACATTTTATAATGGAGACTTTTTACTAATACATCCTGGTGTTCCTTCGTTAATTACTCTGAATTAGTAATGGATTTACTAAATTTACAAATGTAAATACTTCAGTACATATACCATTTTAATCTGAGGTAAATTCTTTAAACAAAACTAAATACTCACAGCAACAAATTGGTTATTTTCTAATTTAATGATGTCTCCCACTTTGACATTCATCCATTTTTCATTCTGCAGTCTAAGAACAAAAACAAAATTAATTTTTTTCAGGAACAGAAAAGAATCAAGGGAATGTATTCATAACAGAGAATCAGATAACAGAAGCAGATAAGACTTTTCTAGAATGCTAAACTCAAAAGACCTTACACAACAGTCTTCTATCTGCATGATATAGGAACTAAGGCCCCGAGAGGTCAAGTGATTTGCCCAAGGATACCCAGTGAGTTACTAATATCTGCATGGCGAAACTCAAGATGCCTAACTCTTGGCTGTGTGTTCTCTCCACCACCCCATGGTGTCAGCTTTATAAAGCAGGTATTAACTCTTGCTTACATTTCCTTGGCCAGAACATTAAAAAAGGGGAGGTTAAAATAAATTCAATTACTGACATCCTTATCAAACTCTGTATTAATAGATATAGAAACATCACTGCCATTATCTCAGAAGTCTGTTTAACTGGAGGCAAGAAGTGAAAGAGGAGACAGAAGCAAGGAGAGTGGTCCAGGACAGTAGCTAAAGTGCAAGTAAGATGAAAAGAATAAAAATTTTGGAAAGGACAAGCACAACAATGGGTGATAAAAGAAGTCTTGGAAGACTGAATGAGAAAGACCACCTACAAATCAGCTATAAGCACGGTGGCTGAAGGACGGGCTTGATGGCATTCTAATGGCTAGGACCAAAAGCTCAGAGTTGAGAACAAAACAGCCAAGCTGCTGCTGCACTGCTTTCTTCCCGGCTCATGTATATAATGGAGCTCAAGTCTGCCCTTCACCAAGATCACAGGGGTTTGTGATGAAAAGTTATTGGGTCTAGTTGATCAGTCCCCTCATGACGAGTTAGGCAGACAGGCCATCTGGGAACAGACCACCTGTGGCCTGGGATGCTAATACTGTGATGCTAATCATCCCTTCTGAAATTTAGAAATGAGATATAAACCAGTTTTGTTTTCCAAGTTGGAAGCCTTCCTCGCACTTCCTTCTCAGCAATTCCCTTGTAGGAGAGAAGGCTGGGATGAGTAGGGCAGGTTCCCCCACAAGTCAAGGTGGGCAGGTTAATTTCATTGTGCAGTTTTTTAAAAACAACCTAATTTACTTGTTTTATAGGCTGGAAAATAGTTTTAAATATTTATAGAACTGTGAAATATGCCTCACACTATCAATGCTGCTGGGTCATCTGGCTTAAACATTCAAAGATTTTTCTTTAATATGGGTCCAAGTACATGTTGTTCTGGAAAGTTTTCAATTGCAGTATTTTCATCTCTAGCCAGAATTCAATCATTTTTCCAATGCCATACTTTTCTGCACTTTATCTAGTTCAATGACAACGGGAGAACCTAGGGAGGCTTCTAAATCTCATTTTATTTATTTTTACAGGTAAGGATTGTGTGTTCGTTTACCTCTCCTGGAGATACCTCCTTTGGAGCATTAGCAATATTTCTTGGGGACAGTATCTCAGATAAAAGTTGATGTGAATGGACTGAGATGGAGACCGTATCTTTATTTCTGGAAACTGCACTGATACTAAATTGCCCTGAAGTCTTCACTGAAAGTGCATCTTCTTTAGGAAGAAGCTGAGATGATATTAAGTTTCATTTCCAAACTCTATTCCTCCTTCCTACACACCAGAAGCTCTAGGAAGGACCCTACACTACTTCTTCCACCCAAATGGAAAATCAACCAAAGCAAAAAGGGAACCCTAGAGGATCTCTTACACATTTCAAAAGGCAAATTTGATAGTTCAGTCTGCACAGGTAAGAAGCAACAGCCACTACGTGGGAGAACAAACCAAAACCTGAGTTTTCTTTTATTTATTTATTTTTTAATTAATTTATTTATTTTTTTAATTGCAGTAACATTGGATTATAACAGTATATAGCTTTCGGATGTACATCATAATATATATCAAATTCTGTGTAGATTACATCATGTTCACCACCCAAAAACTAATTATACTCCATCCCCTCACATGTGACCCTAATCACCCCTTTTGCCCTCCTCCCCTACCTTCCCCTATGGTAACCACCAATCCAATCTCCAATGCTATGTGTTTGTTTGTCATTGTTTTTATCTTCTACTTATGAGTGAGATCATATGGTATCTGACTTTCTCCCTCTGACTTATTTCACTCAGTATAATACCCTCAAGGTCCATCCATGTTGTCACAAATGGCCGGATTTTATCGTTTCTTATGGCTGAGTAGTATTCCATGATTTTTCTTACTTAAATTCTCTCTGATTTGTTTTTCTATGAGCTCCTCTTCTCAAAAGGCCCCTTTGTTACTCAAGACATCCTCCAACATCTGCTCATCCTTGCTCACCTCCCCCTCTCCATCTATCCCCATGGAAAGTCCTCCTCTAAAAAAGGAGCACTCCGTATACTTTGCTTCCAAAGTCTTAGGACTAAAAGTATTCGAGATCTTAAAAACTTTCTGAAGGCCAGCCCAGTGGAGTAGTGATTAAGTTTGCATGCCCTGCTGTGGCAGCCCAGGGTCTGCAAGTTCAGATCCTGGGCACAGACCTACACTCCGCTTGTCAAGCCATGCTGTGGCGGCATCCCACATGCAAAAGAGAGGAAGATTGACATAGATGTTAGCTCAGTAACAATCTTCCTTAAGCAAAAAGATGAAGATTGGCAATAGACATTAGCTCAAGGCCAATCTTCCTCACAAAAACAAAAAGAAAAAAGAAAAAAAACAACTTTCTGGTATATGCATATACAAATTCCATGGGACACAATATCACTTCTGTGGTCTATGAGCTATGCAGAACCTTCACCACAATAATGCAGTTTAACAAAGTTTTTCTGAGGTTGAAGCAAAATATTGTTGTGAAGGTGTACAAGCATGGGATATTTCCTTAAAAGAAATATTACCCAAAACCAATTAGCAATCTGGCAAGAAACGGCAAGCGGTATTCCGTGGATGTTGACCCCAACTCTAGCCCTATTCAACTACCTCACCAACAACCTACACAACCATCTCACAGACACACCTGTCAGATCGGAGGACAGCACCCTGGCAAGAAAAGAGCACAACCCTTACAAAGTAAGATTATGAGAGAACTCATCTTAATGACTTCTAGAAGTTACCAGAAACTGAATGAAGAGGAAAAGGAAGAAGTATAAAATAGATTATTTTAGAGAGGAGAAAGTAACCCTCTACAGATATAACTAGAGATTTGAAGAAAAAGGATCTGGAGATACTGGTAAACCATAGGCTGTGTGTAATGCCTTGGTTAAACCCTTTTTTGAATATATATCTATAGAACAATCAGTGTGTATAATACAATCAGAGGAGATTTTTTTTTTAATGTCGTTTCCTATTCTATCATAGTAGGTAATTATAACTGCACTGACTAGGACCTCAGAGATATATTTCAATGAGCACTAAGGCTCATAGCTACAGAAGTACCCAAGCTTACTGAACAAGTATAAACTGAAAAAGACCTGCAAATGAATTGAAATCGGTTATCTTTTAAATCCTACCATTTTTATTTCCTGCCCACCACCATTACCATTGACGACACAACATCAAAGACAGACCAGCAGGACTGGAGGGGAAGATAGGAAGGTTTGCTTTAAAGTTCATCTTTAAAATATTTCTAGAGCTCTTCTAAGATTTTAGCTTGTAGAGTAATTGCATTTCGTCATCATCGTGAAACAATGAAAACAGACGCTCCTGGCTCTCCACATGTGGTGCAGCTGTTCTCAGGGCTTGTGTGTGAAGCAAGCCACATCACGGCTCTGCGAAGGGGACACACGATGGCTTCGTGTGCTGGAACGGTGACACTTGGCTCCACAGACTCAGCACCTTCAAACTTTGCTTTTACCTTTGCGAAGAAAAGCCCTTCCACTCTCGTGGAGGAATTGTAGCATATAAATATTCCAAATGCAAGTTTCTTCATGTAATTGCACTGAATCAAGAAATTTCAAGATTTTAAAATATGCTTCAACTTTCATATCATCATATAATTATTTCAGGTTTTGAAATGGACATAATCTAGTTAATGCTTCTTTGAACCAGATTTTTCAAAAATAGATGGAGTAATAAGATAGCCTTTATTTTAGTAAACTCACAAGACAACTGCTAAATAATAAGCCAAGATTCAAGTAATGGACTCAAAAAATTTAAATTCCCAAGGCACCATAAAACATATGGGATTTAATTGCCACACAATGTTGACCAGAATTACTTTAAGGAAAGAATTTTTAAAAATACACTCGCTATATATCTACTCTCAGAATATCAGAGAATCTGAGTTCTGGGAAAAGGTGATGAGAGACAGCAACTGTGTCTAATAATCGTTGATAAATGGTCTGAACCTGCTTCTTTCTAATGAGGTCCACCATACTGTTAGGCTGTTAGGCTTTGCTAAGAACCTCCTCGAGAAAATGAGATTGAGACGGCACCAACTACGCTCCATGACTCTGAACTATTGGCTCCAGAGGCTATCAATCAAGTCTTTACCTTGAGCAAGATACCAAGCCCATTGCTGAAGCTTAACGGACAGAAGGAGGAGATCTTCAATGGTCTCCTCAAGCTACTGCCATCCTTTCCACAATCTAACGCTCCTGATTGCCCATTAGCAACAGATTCCTGAAAAGAGGATTTCCCCAAAAGCTACAGAAGACGTGTTGGTGTACTAGAGAGAGAAGATAAGAAAGAAGGTCAGTATAACTGACCCGCCCTAGTTAACCAATTAATCCACATATATTGAGCTGGGTTTCTTCTTTCATCTAAAGCCCATGTCAGATCTATAACATACCAAAGTATTCATCTGCTCATAGAGACTGTGTTTTATTCACCTTTGTATCCTTAGGACCCAGAATAATGCCTAGTTCATAGTAGGCACTCAATAAATATCTGTTGATTGAGTGATAAATAAATTAATGAATGTAGAATCATTTCCAAAAACACTTGTTGAGTGATAGCATTTCCCTGAGTGTCTAATAACAATTCTAGCAACGAACATTTACCGAGTGCTTACCATATCCAGGACTGAGCTGACTCCTTAATGCATAG